TAAATATCGATATCGACTGATGAAAAATTATCGTGATAATTTTTTTTGCCATATCGCCCAGCTCTAATTATGATTATTATATTATAACTACCTCCTGAACTTTCTTTAGCATCTGCGCTCCCAACGATTGTCTCACGCATCCAAAAGCCACTGCATGTTCATTGCATTTCGTCTTCTAAAGTGCAACTAATTTATTATGTTAGAAAAATGTCCCACAATGGCTTCTGCTACCGCATCACACTCAATTTTTCCTTTTGATATTTTGCCACCAGTTTATCTGTAAGTGACGATTTGTCTCTCTGTAGAGAAACAGTGCTTTATACGCAAATGATTTATGCAATATTCCAATTTTGCACATAAGTTTAAGCATCTTTGGATTGGAAAATATAGAAACATAGCTATTGGCTGCTAGACTTGGTTTGCGGGGCCTCTTAAGCCGAAATCTGTTCAGAGCTTGTTCTTGGATGCGCTGATGATTGTCTCGGGTTTCAGTTCTGGAGCACCCCAGCAGACAAACTATTTCAGGACCTGCAGCTTTGTTGTGAAACGTGGAGCCACTGAGGGACCTTTTAGATGCACAGTGCCAGGAAGCCTTGCTAGAGGACACCCTGGGAAACTGGCCAAAGGCGGATCAAATTGGGGGAATGTAGTGATTGTTGGCTGCAGGGATTAATTTGTGGAGTGCAGTTATGACTCTGCACATTGGCTTAAATGGGAAGTTTGGATGACGAGTTTCAGATTTGGAGCATGAGCTGTTCTGGAAGTGATTGTTGATCGTAAACGTTATTGACAAGGACTCGGGGAAAATGTAATAGGACTGAATGTTCTTGAGCTTTCAAGGCTTTGAATATATAAAGATTAATGTCTGTTAAACATTTGTAAAAGTATAAATGTGAACTTAAAAGCATAGTTCTCCCAAAAATTTAATCAATTAGGCATGCTTCACTCGTTCAAATCCTATTTGTATTTCTTTCTTCATAAAAAATATATTCTGAAGAATGTTGGTTGATGGTTTCCATTGGCTTCAATGTTTTTACCATGTGAGCCCTAGTTGTGAACTAAAATTCTCACATCAGGTCATGTTGGCATGTCACAATAGTTTTCTGTTCATTCCTGGAGTTCCTCAGTCTTTTACAGTTGCCAGCTCTAGGTCAGATAAGTCTGCTCAAGGTGGAATTGCCTCATTTGCTTTCAGCTATTATCAGCTAACCATGCCATGTGTTTTTTTTTTCTTCCTTCCACTAAATTAATAACTCCCTTGAAACTTTGAAGTGAAACATTGAGTTTCTAAAGCTGCACGTCAGTCTGCTATACAGAGGTTATCTTGACCTGTTTTAAAGAGTGATATGATTAGTGTTGGTGCTTTATGAAAGCATAGACGAATTGATAAAAGATGAGCGTACACTTGTTCACAAAAGGTCAGTCAGATTCTCTTGGCGTGATTTGAGATCTCCAGTACTTCTAACATGATTTGGTCAATTCAGATTGATTTTGTCAAGTGGTTGTGTGGAAATCACATTGATGATACTGTTTGAAATTTGAAAAAAAGCTTGCAGTGTTGGGCTAGCTGTTTGGAAAATGTAGTGAGCTAAGCCATTAGTTACTCTACTTAATGTAGCTTACTACACTATAAGCAACTCTCTGGGAACTGTTGCAAGCTAAGCTAAAAGCTATACGGCAAAAGGCAGATTACAGTTCCAACTCTGATCAAACTAATCAAATTAATTAGGACCTGAACAGCACTTGATAATTCCAGGCAGGTGTGTTTGATATGGGTTGCAACTGAAATCTACAGGAAGGTAGATCTCCAGGAACAGGGTTGGTCACCCCTGATTTAGAGCAGTGGTTCTCAAAGTGGGGGTCGGGACCCCCCGAGGGGTCGCTGGGCAATGAAAGGGGGTCGCCTGGTGATTTCCGAAAATCTATTTATTTTTATTAAACCATAAGAATTAACATATTTTATCCATAACTATACTGAAAATAAAAATAGTCGTTTATAGTTACTATATACTATATAGTTACTATAGTAGCTTATAGTTACTAGTTCTATTGGATTGCGACCCCTGGGGTAATTACATTATATTAAAGGCAGCAATAGCGTCAGATGCATTTTGATTTTATAACATCAGGTTATACTTTCTGGCACATTTAAAGCACTGACACAAATTTAATTGGTGTGTCTGCGTCATTGCATGCAAGGTTTCTGTATTTATAACCACCTCAGAGGATATTGAGGGTCGCGAGTCACTGGCATTGTTATTTTGGGGGTCGCGGGCTGAAAAGTTTGGGAACCCCTAATTGAGAGTATAAACTTTTTACTTGTCAGATTTCTAAAAACACATTATGATATGCAACTTGGTTCATTCATTTTATTTTTGGCTCAGTTCCTTTATTAATCTGGGGTTGCTACAGCGGAATGAACCGCCAACCTGTCCAGCACATTTTACGTAGCGTATGCCCTTTCAGCTGCAACCCATTTCTGGGAAACATCCATACACACTCATTCACACACGTATACTACAGACAACTTAGCCTACTCAATTCACCTGTACCGCATGTCTTTGGACTGTGGGGGAAACCGGAGCACCCGGAGGAAACCCACGCGAACACAGGGAGAATATGCAAACTTCACACAGAAACGCCAGCTCACTCCGAGGCTCAAACCAGCGACCTTCTTGCTGTGAGGCGACAGCATTACCTACTGCGCGACCTCGTCGCCAATATGCAACTTATAATATTTAATATAAAACTGCATGATTTGTAAAACTGATAAAATAATATGATATACCATAGTTAATATATGGTGATGTTGTGTTCATGCTCTGACTTTCCCTAAATCTTTTAGCTAAGAGTCTGTTTTGTATACCCTGACAGTTTGAATCGAGAGCACTTGAGTTTGTTTTATTGGACTGCAGAAAGTGCACTATGCATTACAACAGAATGCTGCATTAGTATATCAGTATGGTTTTAAACATCATTTGTTGTCAGAAAGACATGCTTTTTATTTGTTTATACAGAGTAATCAGCAAAAATCAAGCAGATTGCTTCATACATGCATACACAAAGCTTTGGTATGCTCCATTAAGATGAAATAAACCAACATCAGTCTCTCATTATCCTTTTGGTTTGCAAACACTTTGTCTAAAACAAGTCACATTGCTTTGTTACAGGGATTTATTCACTCTTGTTTAGTACAAAATTAATGAACCCATTCCCAAACCTTTGAATTACATAGAGAGTTATACAAATGAACTAGAAAACGGAGTTCACAAGAGTTTTGAAGCTGTCATTTCTGGAGTTCATTACTTTCTCATTCACTGCGTATATCTATATTCTCAAATGATCACAGAATTAATCAATATTTCGCCGCTTTTTTGTGTGCAAAGGATTTTTAGATTTGTTCCTTTAGGGCTTTGCTTTAGCTCAGGAAATTAATTTCTTGTTGCCTTTATGAACTCTACACCCAAGTCTTAATAAAGCATAATATGAAATGTATTCAAAATATTGTTTTAAAGATTTAGGCTAATTGCAAGCACATGCAAGATGGACATTGAAATGTTTGGTTGGATATCTCAGCATGTTTTTGTTAATACTGCCAGAGAATATCCATTTCATGATCGTTTTTCTGAACTTAAAAGAGTATTTATTTAGTAAACACTGAGGCCTACAGAGAGATCTGGAGACCTCAAAAGGTATTTGAGCAATTCCATGCAAATGTCAACCCTGTAATGAAAAAGATTACGTTATCACCAAAATATGGGAACCGTTTTTTGTGTATGCTTGTATTTTAAAGCACATTAGAAATACTTAAATGTCTCTGTCAGTGTTTTTAAACAATTATATTTGATTTACCAAAGTGACGCAAGTGACAATTTCACATCGGTCGCATCCATAACGGAGAGATGTCACATCCATAACAACACTTTTTTTTTTTTCTCATAAATGCAAAAATGTCAAATAAAATGAAGTCAGTAATTTTTGTTCTATAGAGAAATCATTTATCCTTTTGATTAGCATCATTTCTTTTGGGTTGTGCAGTTTAATTAACAGAATTTCTACAAAGTATTTTTTTTTACTGCAAACCTGCAGACTTTTTTAGTCACATCCATAACGCATGTTTATTTTCCTAATTTAAAGTACAAAACATGTTTCCAGATTAGTCTTTTTCTGGTCCCATATCTCTGTGGTTAGTCGTTTGGAAAATATAATCAGATGTTTTAATATAATGCTAACATGTACTTTTTGTTAATTTTTGTTTTGATTTTTTTTTTTTACTGCAAATGTCAAATCCATGATGCTGGAATTGCTCATTTATACATTGAGTTTCTCTAATAAATGTTTAAGTATCATTAAAGGAATAGTTTACCCCCCCTAAAAAAATCTCCATTTACTTACCAAGGATAGCTTGAGGGTATGTAAGACTTTTTTCATTAAGGTGAACCGATAGTGGTATTGAATAGGGTTGCACGATACTGGAATTTGGTACTAATTGATTCTGAAATGTTAAAACTGTCCATTTCCCGCTAACATTTAGGTGCTCCAGAAATGACTGTGATTGGCTGTGAAGGTCATCAGTTCACCGAACTCACCATTGTTTACTGAGTGTAACCACAGATACAGGGACACTAGAGTGTTTAAAGGCCCGATTCATCAGCGAATTGCTGGTATGTCAGCTTATAGACAAACCAGCTGACCGACCTGACTTTGAAACACTCCAGTGGTGAGTTTGGTGAACCGATGACCTTCACGGCCAATCACAGTCATTTCTGAAGTGCTCATCAGCGCTCAAATGTTATAAAATGGATGCTTTTAAAATTTCAGTATCAATTGGTACTGAATTCCAGTATTGTGACAACTCTAGTACTGAATAGTGGCTTTTATTTTGAAGTGTCTAAATGCACATAAAATGTCTTATGAGTCTTATTGATGTCTTTAGCGTTAGATTATTTGTTGTTTTGTGCTTCAGCAGCATCAGTGTTTGTTTCCTTTTGTAATTTCAGATTTGATGCCATATTCTGAAAGCTGTCGGTGACAGATCTGCTAGACGGACACTATGACGGCCGTGAACGCTCCACGAGACAGGTAAAATGTCTATAAGCTTGATCACAATACATGACTAGGGCCCTATGATTTCTGCACTGTGGAAAACTTGAATGGAAATGCAGAATTTAAGCATAAAGTGTCATAGAATATGATCAAAGAAAATGCATGCAGTCACATCAGTTGTAAACCGTCCCAAAAAGCACAATTAGGTGCATGTGTGACTTCCAGTTTGAGCAGCTATGGCGTAAGTCGTGTTGTTCTTGCAGCGTGTCTACCAAAATTTCAATCTTTAGCCCATTTTGCTCCCACCACCCAGCCTATAAGGGTTGTTTACTTAATGTCCATCGAACAATGTTTTTTTTTTATGATGAAACATGAAGAACAAACCCAGTAAAGCTGCTAATCTGTCATTGTATCATTTTCGGTCTGCACTTTCTGCTGGTCCCACGTCTCCTCAGTCCTCAGTTAGCTCAGGGGTGCAAACGGAGCCCCCGGCTGACAAGACAGCTTTTAAATCTGAACTTTTATCCTCTCTACGCAATGATATTGCAGGAATTTTGTGCTTCGAGTTGCAAACTGTATTGGGTGAAGATCTATCTACAGTTAAAAGTGAGCTGCAAGAATTCAAATGAGCTTTTTTAATCTAGATTAATTCCGAGAATAATCTAGAATAAACATTAATCTATGCCCACCTATAATATGAATAATAAAATGTAAGATTCTATTTAAATATAAATGGTGCAGTTTAGTTTGCACACTGCGTTTATGACAACCCATAAAAAACATTCTGGTTTCATTTTGGTTTGATTTCATTTCTTACTTTGAGTTTTAAAATGGAGAATTTTTAAGTTTGTGAAAATAAAACAGAATTCTGGAAAATATCTAATTAATTTCATAGGGCCCAGCATGATGGAAAATAAGCAGCAGTGAATCTGAATGTGTGTATTTTGACTTGTCTTCTAGGTACAATGCCGTATGGATCATTTTCTTCATTCTGGGCCTGGGAACTCTTCTGCCTTGGAATTTCTTCATGACTGCTACTTTGGTAACAATCCTCTCATTGAGTCCCAATGATAGACCTTAAGACTGCAGTTTATGGCACACTGTAGCACATTATTAGATGTAGCCGTCATAATGTGAACTATATTGGATTTTAAGTTTATTGTTCCCCAAAGGTCTGGTTTGTTTTGCATTTTGACAATATAAATAAAGTCAACCAGCTGGGAATATCGCTTTTAATGTAAAACATTCCTTGAGCTTAAGGTAGAAAGTAACATCAAGGTCACTGGTTTATTTCCCAGGACATCATGAACTAATAAATATATACCTTAGATGCAAATCACGTTTCTGTGGATGACAGCATCTGCCAAATACATAAATGCAAATGGACTGCATTTAAAGGTGCTGTATGCAAGTTTTTGACTCTTCTAAAGTATTAAAATGCAATAATATGTTTGCAGATATTTCAGATACATACTAAGTGAACAATCTTATTTATCTGAAAAACAATGCTGAAGTCAGATATTCTGCTTTAAAAATGTGTTTTATGTGCCGGAACTGCTGTCTTTGTTTTGATCATTTTAACCCTCCCAATGCCATTTAAGCCAATTATATTCCAACATCCTGGGTTACCTTGATAAAAAAACAGATATGTATTTATTTATTTAAGTAATTCATTCATTCATTCATTCATTCATTTATTCAAGGCTCTCAAAGCATGTGCCTATGACTGAAATACTACCTCTGGTGGACAGTAGCAGCCTCTGAAATGAGTTGCGGATTCAGCTTCACATGTGGTTATTGATTAGCAAATAATATAAATGATACGAATATAAACAGGTGAGCAGGCTACACTGTAACCATGAGTCACAACACACTACGTTAGGAGATGCGCAGTGATAAGCAAAATGGCTGTTTCCACCAGACGAAACACGACAAATTTAAATGCAGCCATGCAGAAGCACAGAATATGCACTGAGTCATGAAATAGTAAGGTTTATAATTCAATGAATACAAATAAAACCTCTTTAACTTTATTAAATGTAGATGCTGTATTACGAATGTGTTGGTTTTGAGTCACAGTTCTGAAGCTCAGTTTCTAACGGTTTTTATTTTCAAGATCTGAGTTGAACTATCTGCTGCTGCTTTCAGTAGTATAGCAATAAATGTGATGTAAAATGGCATTCAAACGTGCATTATTAGCATTTAACACTGAATAAAGCACATGTGGTGTACCTGAGGTGATCATTGTCAGTTTATCCTGTTGTTCAGCTGCAGGAAAAAGAAGCTGTTTCTAATATATCAATTTCAGGTGTTGGTTTGGACAAAAACTCCTTTTCATCTGGAAAATATTCCTTCTATTGCGTGCCGTTGCTTTTATTTAGAACAAGCTTTAAGTCAGACTCGCTCCTTAATCTGGCAACCTTCGCTTGCATTTGTTTTGCTCCAGGAGTGCAATACCTAGTTCATCCACTGGGTGGCAAACTAACATACTTGACCTTTAACATCAATGCATTACTGTAGATTTAATATGGATTGATTTTAATGTAAATTTTTTTTTTTAATCTATATTCTGTATTTTAGATCTTGCATTAAGTCGATTTGATTCAGATTATGGTTCATATTGACCAAAACCACAAAAATGGATCTGTAAAATTTGTAATTTATAAGGATAAAACATTTAATTAATGCATCCTCTTTTTGGCTTAGTCCCTATATTAATTAGGGGTCGCCACAGCGGAATGAACCGACAGCTTATCCAGCTTATGTTTTTCACAGCAGATGCCCTTTCCAGCTACAATCGTGTCTTGTGAAAAATTCATACACACTCATTCACATACATACACTACAATTTAGCTTACCCAATTTACATATAGAGCATGTCTTTGGACTTGTGGGGGAAACCAGAGCACTGGGAGAACATGCAAACTCCACACAGAAATGCCAAATAACCCAGCTGAGGCTCGAACAAGCAACCTTCTTGCTGTGAGGTGATCGTGCTACCCGCTGCGCCACTGTGTCGCCAGGATAAAACATTTTTGATTTGCAATTAAAAGCTATAAGTGATGTCTGGAGGGAGCACAATATTTGCTTTTAATGTCCTTGTAGGTTTAATTAAACCATCAAAATATGAAGAATACATTAAAATGTGAAGAGGAGAACTATTAAATTGGTTAAGATGTTAAGTGACTGCTATTTGGCAAAAAAGCAAACTACAGTTGTCACAGAATATGATATTTTGCTATGTAGCAAGAAGGGTGCTTGTTGGAGCCATGGCTGGGTCAGTTGGCATTTCTGTGTGGAGTTTGCATGTTCTCCCTGTGTCCGGGTGGGTTTCCTCCTGGTGTTACGGTTTCCCCCACAGTCCAAAGACATGCGCTAAAGGGGAATTGGCTGTAGTGTATAAGTATGTGAGTGAATGAGTGTGTATGGGTTGCACCTGAAAGCGCATCTACTGCGTAAAACATATGCTGAATAGTTAGCGGTTCATTCTGCTGTGGCGACCTCTGAAATAGACGAAGCTGAAGAAAAATAAATGAATGAATGGATGCTATGCAAAAAAAATGCAAAAACTCAGAGGAAGCTCAGAGGAAATAACGTATGCATTTACTAAACTATTTTCAGCTTTTAATATGCAGTTGTTTGTTATCTTTAGTATTTGATGAATAGCTTTTCCCTCCCGTGCATTCTTCAATAATAAACATGCTTCCTTGCATTATTAAAACCAAAACTGGAACACAAACAAATCCTTTAGACATCTAGGTCAATTACACAACATGCCTTGCAAATCTGTAGCAACATCTTTAAATCGGCAAGAACTTCTGTCTGTGGCCCTCTTAAAGTCATAATCCTGTCTTTGTGCAGTACTTTACCAAGCGTCTGGAGGAAACCAATGGAGGGCTCAATCAGACAGCTAATACGACGGAGATCCGAAGCGTCCTTCAGTCCAAGTTCAACAATGTGATGACGCTTTGCGCAATGGTCCCGCTGCTCATTTTCACCTGCCTCAACTCCTTCATCCACCAGAGGTGAGACAGAAACTGCACATCTACTACTCAGGGCTGTCACTCTTATCAAATATGGTCGATTTATTGACGAAGAAGTAATTGGGATTATACAATTGATTGTCTGTTTCATTGTCAGATTTAGTTTTATTTTTTGGTGCATTGATGATTAATGGTCAGTTTTGGGGTTCAGAATTACTTTATGAATTGTATTTTGCGAGTTAATTGCATACAAGTCAATGCAAACTTGAGAATGTCATTCACATCTGCGTTTGCTGTGAACCCAGCCATGTTGGCCAATCAGAAAGGAGAACAGTGCGCACGACGAGGTGATACCTCTGTACTTTGATATGTCTCTCCCTGATGCTATTAAAGGAATAGCAGCATTTTGCAGTCATATTAAAACAACAGCAGCTAGATTAAATAAACGCAGGTAGCCAGTTATTTCGGGATAGTTTTTCCAAAAATCAGTTTCTTTCTTCTGAAGTTGTTTGAAGAAAGTTGGAAACCTTCAACAGAAAAAAAACATATTAAAGGTTAAAAAGGGTTGAGTTAATAGTGAGTAATAGTGATTTTTGGGTGATCTATCCTTTTAAAAATCACATCAGGCTTCTACTTGTCTGCTTAGTTATTGGTGAAACAAGTTGTGAATGTACATTCACCGGCCACTTTATTAGGTACAACTTACTAGTACTGGGTTTGTGGCAGAGATTTTGGTCAATATTTACATGATAGTATCTCACAGTTGCTGCAGATTTGTCGGCTGCACATCCATGATGCTCTATTGGATTGAGATCCAGTGACTGTGGAGGCCGTTTGAGAAGAGTGAACTCATTGTCATGTTCAAGAAACCAGTCTAAAATGATTTGCGCTTTGACATGGCATGTTATACTGCTGGAGGTAGCCATCAGAATGGTCTGCAACAATACTCAGGTAGGCTGTGGCATTGACATGATGCTCAATGGGTCCAAAGTGTGCCAAGAAAATATCCCCACACCATTACACCACCACCAGCCTGATCCGCTGATACAAGACAGGATGGATCCATGCTTTCATGTTGTTGGCACCAAATTCTGAGTTTACCATCCGAATGTCGCAGCAGAAATCAAAGCTTATCAGACCAGGCAACATTTTTCCAATCTTCTATTGGAACCAGGTGTGGTCTTCAGCTGCTGTAGCCCATCTGCCTCAAGGTTGGACGTGTTGTGCGTTCAGAGATGCTCTTCTGCAGACCTCGGTTGTAACAAGTGCTTATTTGAGTTAACTGTTGCCTTTCTTTCAGCTTAAACCTGGCCATTCTCCTCTGACCTCTGGCATCAACAAGGCATTTGTGCCCACTGAACTGCCGCTCACTGGATATATTCTCTTTTTCAGACCATTCTCTGTAAACCCTAGTAAATCCTCTGTAAACCTTAAACCTGATGCTCGGTTTAAAATGCAGCAGATCGTCTTGACCATGTCAAGAGTTGCTGCCATGTGATTGGCTGATTAGAAATTTGCATTAACAAGCAGTTGGACAGGTGTACCTAATAAAGTGGCCGATGAGTCTAAATAATAGTTCACCCCAAAAAATTAATTTATTCACCCTCAGCTTGTTCCAGTCTTGTATAAATTTCTTAGTTCTGCTGAACGCAAAGGAGGATATTAGTAAAAATGTCAGCCTCCTAATTGCACAAATTAAATATCAATAGTTTTGAATCGTACAATGTATATTTGGTTTTTGCCAATTTGAGAAACGTAAAACTTTAAGGTTTTGTGGTCCAGGGTCTCATGTGTGTGTCTGTGTGTGATGAAACTGTATTATATTTGTCCTACAGGTAAAAGGTTTAGTCTAAACCTGTCTCTGAGATTTGTAGGAAAATTTAAATAGTTAAGCGTAAGACCAAATTGAAAGCCATCTTTCACACTGTTACATTTGAGTTGTATGTGCAGGAGTAGAACCAAACAGTGAAGCTTATTTCATAGTTTGTTGTTGTTCTAAAAAGTTACAGATTAGTTAAGTAGAAAGAGGTATGTATTTTAATAATGTGTCATGGCCATGAATCTCCCAGAAACGCTGCAGCATCTCATGTTTATTTTCTCACAGGATTCCTCAGAAGTTGAGGATCTCCGGCAGTCTGTCTGTCATCTTGGTGGTGTTTCTCATCACGGCGGTGTTGGTGAAGGTGGAGATGGAGCCCCTGCCGTTCTTCACGCTCACTATGATCAAAATCATCTGCATCAACTGTGAGCATCTCCTTTACAACATCTGACACTGACCTCAGGCTACGTTTAGCACACAGCTTTAAAAACGAAAATGATCCTCGTCCATACTGGCATTTCCACTATTTTTCACACCACATGACCAAAAGCGCACAACAGAAGCTAAAAGTTATAGGACAAAGTTGTAGCCTGTATATAGTTATTAAATAAAACACAAATTATGATGACAACTGATAAACAATGGCTTCTTTATTGTGATGAGACAAGAAAAATCATCATTTATTTGGCAGCAGATTCTTTTAATTTTTACAGTATTCAAAACCTGGTAATAAAATCTTGCGTATTGTAAATAACAACACAGTTACAGCACAACTGTATATATAACTATAAAATAAACCACAAGTGAAAGGCTGATAGTATTTGTTTTAAGTGTGTTGTTATAAATTGCAGCATCAAAGTAGTGGCAAATCCCTTAAATGTGTCCTGTATTCAGAACGCAAGATTATAATCTGGAAAAAAGTTCATCTAGTATTTAATTTAAATCTTGTGTATATCTATCTATCTATCCATCTATCCATCTATCTATATGTCTGTCTGTCTGTCTGTCTGTCTGTCTGTCTGTCTATCTATCTATCTATCTATCTATCTATCTATCTATCTATCTGTCTGTCTGTCTGTCCGTCCGTCCGTCCGTCCGTCCGTCCGTCTAAAAGAGAATTAAGTAATGTTTGTTGTTGAAATAACAGTATTATCATCATAAAACGTCTGTCCTTCATTCTATCCATCCTTCCTTTTGTTCTTTCTTCCTTTCCATCCTTCCTTCTGTCATTCCTTCCTTCCTTTTTCCGTCCTTCCTTCTGTTCGTCCTTACTACTTTCCGTACTTTCATCTTTCTGTCCATCTTTTCATTCTTTTTTCCTTCTTTCCACCCGTCCTTCCTTCCATTCTTCCTACCTTCATTCCAGTCATCCTTTCTTTCTCCTTTCTCTCCTTTCTTCCCTTCTTTTTTCTGTCCTTTCTTTTTTTCTTCCTTCTGTCTTTTCTACCTTCTTTCAGTCCTTTCTTTCCTCTTTCCTTTGTCCTTTCATCCTTCCTTCTGTATTTCTTTCCTTCCTTCTGTCTGTCCTTCATTCTGTGCATGCTTTTTTCCATCCTTTCTTCCTTCTTTCCTTCTGTCCTTCCTTCTGTCCTTCCTACTGTCCGTCCTTCTGTTTGTCTGTCCTTCCATGCTTCTTTCCGTCCTTCCTTTTTTCCTTCCTTCCTTTCTCCTTCTGTCCTTTCATCATTCCTTTTGTTCTTTCTTCTTTCTTTCCTTCCTTCTGTCATTCCTTACTTCCTTTTTCCGTTCTTCCTTTTGTTCGTCCTTACTATTCTCCGTACTTTTTCATCTTTGTCCATCCTTTCTTTCTACCCTTCCTTGCTTCCATTCTTCCTACCTTCATTCCATCCATTCTTTCTTCCTTGCTTCTTTCCTTTCTCTTTCCTTTCTTTTATCCTTCTTTCCTTCTGTCCATCGTTCTTTCCATTCTTCCTTTCAACCTTTCTTCCATTTGTCCTTCCATCTTTTCTTCCTTCCTTTCAACTTTCCTTCCATGCTTTTTTTTGTTCTTCCTTGTTTTGGTCCTTTCCTCCATCCGTCTGTCTGTCCCTCTGTCCTTTTTTTCATCTGTCTGTTCTTTCTTTCCTTCCTTTTTTCCATCTGTCCTTTCTTCCATCCTTCCTTCTTTCTTTCCCTCCTCCTTTCCGTCACTTCTTCCTTCTGTCCTTCCTTCCAAATTTTTCTTCCTTCCTCAGATATAAACTATACTGGAATTTGTCACGTTACATTGCAAATGTGTTGTATTTTTCTAAATAGAAAAGGCTTTGTATTCCACCCATGTTCTAGGTTTATTTCTCTTTGTGTTAAATAGTTGCATTTTTAAATCAAGATCAACATTGTTTGCAGCATTTCCAAAGGTTTGCATTTTTTTAAGGGTCAAAAACTTGTGAGTAGTCTGGATTTCATTAAAGCTAAGCAAATATCTCAGTCTGAGTCAGTGCCGTTGTTTTCATAGTAATTCAGCATTTAGGTAGTTCAGATGTCTGCATTTAAAACAAAAACACCAGTGTAAAAGTGAGCTCAGAGCGATGTTTTTCTCTCCTCTGACTCGGGTCGCGAGGTTTGCTTTTTGCTTTGGGGTTTATAATGAGTAAAAGATGGCTGGAGTTCACATGCATGCTTTGATGCTGACATTATCCACACTGTTTTGAGGATCAAGCTGGGCAAGGTCCTACTTGAAAGAACAGATCGCATAGGAGTAAACGCTCTGAAATGTTTCATCGGTTTCTCTTTCACAACATTGACACGTGTCTTGTTTTTCTCTTTGCTCAGCGTTCGGGGCGATTCTGCAGGGCAGTCTGTTTGGTTTGGCAGGAATGCTGCCGGCGTCCTACACTACACCCATCATGAGCGGACAGGGCCTGGCTGGAGCGTTTGCAGCCTTCTCCATGATCTGTGCTATTGCCTGTATGTCTTCATGCTCTGTTTCCTGCTTTTCCAAAACCAGAATGTGGAGCAGCTTGTTAAAAAAAATCTGCTTCTGTTAAAGGGACAGTTCACCCAAAAATGGCAATTCAAAGTGGTTGCTTTTGGCTTGAATACTAGTTGCTTTTTCTACTATGAATGTCAGTGGCTTTTAACATTCTTTAAATGTTCTTCTTTTCTGTTCAACAGATCAGAGAAGCTCATAAAGTTTGTAACAACTTGATTAGTAAATGATGACAATTTTTATTTTTGGGTGAGCTATTCTTTGAAAAGAAAATTGAATTACCACAAAATATGTACATGGTGTATGTATATAGCAGTCAATATTTGAAGTAATCCAAAGTCTTTCATCAAATTTATGCTAAAACTATTGATTTAAAATCAATTAAAACCACTATTAACAACAATCTGGAGCTAATCTAACAAAATAACTATGGTTATGGTCTAAAAATGTGTTGCCCAAGTTGAAATGTTAGGGAAAAACATTAAATAAAACCAAAAAAGAGGGCAAAAATCAAGAGAAACAAAAAATATTTAACATTTTGTAGAAATTTTGTAGTTTGTAATGTTTTTGTACTATTTTGCATGAATTTAAGTGCATCTTTATTTCTTTATTTATTACTTTTTTTTTACAAATTTGATTTAGAGAAGAGGAAAAAAACAAACAAAGTGGTTGTCGTAAGGGTTACAGAATCAAGTCATGATATGTTTGACATACATTATCACAAATTGTTTACAATGACATATTCAGACCATTTTTTCCAGAACTTGGTACACTTTTTTTAATCAAATCCTAGATTAAATGTGAGTCTCTCCATACAGTGCATTTCCTTTACAATTTCTATCCATTGAGCCCTTGTTGGAGGGTCAGCCTGTAACCATTTTCGAGTTATGGCTTTTCTGCTACTTACCAAGAGGATTTGAATCAGGTACTTGTCAATAGTTGGAATAACTTCTGGTATTTTGCCAAGGATTAATGTTATAAATAAGTAGTCCATTTCTTGTTCGGTTATCTTTTTTATTTCAGTCACTATTTCACACCAGAAGGTTTGTATTTTTGGCCATTTTGAAATGGTTAGCCATTGAGTTTCTAAATTGTCTCCAACATGAGCCCAAACTTTCAACACCTGTATGCAATGCAGACAGTTTAGGAGTTATGAAGAACCTCGTCAGATTTTTCCATCCAAATTCTCTCCAAGCTCTCAAGTTTTTCAGTCTTCTTCTGTTATTTGTTGGTTTGACTCTTTCTCCCATTTTTTGTTTTATGTAAATTGATGAATGAGTCTTACTGTTTTGTATGCATTCATATAATTTAGAGACCAGTTTTTTGTTTTCTTCTATGTATGCATCCTCAAATACTGTTATCAAATTAGAATCATCCTTAATTTTTTTATTAAAGTAATCTCTAACTTGCAAGTATCTGTAAAAGTCCTGCTTGTCCAGGCAAAAAAGTATCTGATAAGGTCTCATAACTCATGAAATGTCCATTAGAGGTCACTGAACCGAATGATGCGATTCCTCTCCAAACCCACTGTTTAAATCTCCTATCTAGTGTACACGGTTGAAAGTCTGGGTCGAATGCTATCCAACTTAATATCCCATTATGCTTTTCTAATTGTAATTTCTTAAGTATACTGTGTATTTTTATTTCTAAAGATGTTCGGTGACTAAAATGTTATTTTAATAAATATATCTGTTTATATAAATCTGTTTAAATATAAATGTTATATTTGTTTTCTTCAAATACACCAAAATATATTACCCACATTCACTGAGAAATGAATACAAATACTCATTTTCAAAATGGGGTGTACTCTTATATTGATTAGTGTTGGAGTTAAATTATGCAGGACACCGGCCCTCCATGGCAGAGTTTGCCCACCCCGATATAGACAATAGAATAGTTACACAGGGACATGCATCCCCATATTAAAATTTTCTGTCAAGTGAGGTCATGTATAGAACTACGATTGGTCTCACGCATTCTAGTGATTTGAATTTGCAGGTCAGAGTTCACCAAGCTTGAACTTTGCAACGCAGCAAACTGTGAAACTTTGTTTACGAGCTTGCGTTTGCGGTCTGACGCATTCGTGTGCATATGAATGGAAGTCTATGGGGAGAAAAGTCCAGTGTGACCACAGCTATAGACAATAGAATAGTTACACAGGGACCTGTACCCTCACTTTTAGTTGTGCTGGATGAGTTTGATGCAGAAATGCTGGTGTAATTTCACCTGACACTGAGTCTTTTGTTTTTGCAGCGGGTTCAGAGTTGGAAGACAGCGCTTTCGGCTACTTCATCACGGCCTGTGTGGTCATTCTGCTGGCCATCGTCTCTTACCTCGCTCTGCCCAGAATGGTATGATGTAAAATTATGGATCACATCTGTGTTTCATTTCCACTAATCAGTGCTGAGAGTTCTGTTTCCATGTTTGCACACTGAAATCTAAAACGTGTCGTTCTGCAGGAGTTTTTCCAGTATTTCTCTGAGAGCAACAGGTCTCGATCCAGCACAGATGAGGAAAACAAAATGGATTTATTGAAACCAGGTAATCTGCAGTGTTCTAGTTATCAAACTAAATAACCTATTAGACCTTTAAATCCAGTTTTGAAACCAAACATTCATTTATTTTCCTTCGGCTTAGTCCCTTTATTCATCAGTGGTTGCCACCGCAAAATGAACCGTCATATACATGTTTTAAGCATCGGATGCCCTTCCAGCTGCAACCCAGTACTAGGAAACATCTGTACACACTCACATTCACACACACACTCATACACTATGGCCAATTTAGTTTTTCAATTCACCTATGGCGCATGTGTTTGGACTTCTTGCTGTGAAGTGACCGCTGAGCCACCATGACTCTGTAACCAAACACTCAGCATTTTTTATGTTTGCCTGCTCTCTCAATTTAATTTTTTTAATTAATTTTGTAACAAACTATAAGGTTTTTATCTACTTTACCTTTAGTGCCCTCAAAACTGTTTTATTTTAATATTAATCAAGTATTAGAATTTTATATTGAGTCTTATTTTTTAACTTTTATTTCAATTGAGTGCTGATTGAGTTATTTTCTTTTGTAATTTTTTTTACCTATATTTACTGTGGTGTATATATTATTTATACATAATATATAATGTTTTTTATTATCTTTCATTTAAGTAATTTAAAAATTATTTTACTTTAAATAATTTAATTAAACTGTTTATTTGAATTAATTTTAATTCATTCATTAATTTTTCTTCGGCTTAGTTACTTTATTCATCAGTGGTCGCCACAGCAGAATGAACCACTAACTTATCCAGCATATGTTTTACACCGCGGATGCCCTTCCAGCTGCAACCCAATACTGGGAAATGCATCATACACATTCATTCACACTTATAAACTATGGCCAATTTAGCTTACCCAATTCACCTGTAGTGGATGTGTTTGGACTGTGGGGGAAACCAGAGCACCCAGAAGAAACCCACGCCAACATGGGGAGAACATGCAAACTCCACATAGAACATGCCCACTGACTCACCCGGGGCTTGAAACAGCGACCTTTGTGCTGTGAGGCGACAGTGCTGACCACTGAGCCACCTGAAATCAAACACTTTTTTTTTTTTTTTTTTTAAGAGCCCTAATTTTTTTACTTATTTATTAAAAAAAAAAAGCAAACACTCAGCATTTACTTTTATTTTTGTCTGCTCTCTCAATTTAACTTAATGTAATTAAAATTTGTTTTGTAGCTTTATCTAGTTTTTTATTTACTATATCTTTAGTGCCCTTAAAACTATTTATTTTATATTGCATCTTATTTTTTTACTTTTATTTTAATTACTTGTGTGCTAATTGAGTTATTTTCTTTCATAATTTTTTAACCTATAATGCGTGCATGCATGCGTGTGGGTTTGTATGTTTGTGTATATAGTGCTCAGCTTATACGAGTACACTCTATTGTGAAAATGAATATTTTTATCCATTTCTCTGTGATTATGGGTTATATATATACATTGGTGCATTTGAAAAAAACTGATTTATTAAACAGATATATTTATTAAAATAATATTTTAGTCATAGAACATCTTTAGAAATGGAAAAAATAACACATTTAAATTCATACATGTGTGTGTGTATATATATATATATATATATATATATATATATATATATATATATATATATATATATATGTGTGTGTGTTTTTTACTTTAAATAATTGTATTAATTTAATTAAAAACAGTTTTATTTGAATTAATTTTATTGATGCATTTTAATTAAATTTGTCTTATTTTTATTTTTTAAATTATGCTAATTGTGTTGTTTTGTTTTGCTATTTTGAACCCTACATTGACCATTTACCATTATATATCAACCACACATGATTTTTATTTGTACATTTATTTAAAAAAAAAAATTTAATTTGATTTTAACACTGAGTGTTCTTTTTGTTTTGTTTTAACACTTGGTATTGTTATTATATAAATGCATTAAAGGGCACCTATGGTAAAAAATCTACTTTTCAAGCTGTTTGGACAGATCTGTGTGTTGGTATAGTGTATAGACCGTCATACTGGGGTGATATGAACACACCCAGTCCTTTTTTTTTCAATTTAACTACAAAAAAAAGGGTCGGCCAATTGGAGCTGTTTTTAAATCGATCGCACCATTACATATATGTGCGATCCCCCCGCCCACCGAATTGATTGACAGCTGCACGCATTAACATGTTCTGGTAGTCGCGTGTATATGTCAACAAGACCAGACAGACATACGCAATGCAACCGGGAATAAAAGGTCTGTTCTGTTCGCTAGGATCAGCAATCATCATCAAATGTGATTAAGAGTAAGTTTCACATGTTTAAAGTGTTCTAAAACAGAGTATGTGTGTAATTAATTACAGCGTTTTACTTCAGCTTTACTTCATCAGCACAGCTGCGTGTCCGAACAATTATAAAAGAAGACGCTTCAATCCCGGTTTGTGGAAGTTAAATCAGGTTTATTTTGTACATTAGCATAACGGATATCCACACAGTCCTTGAGGTTAGCCTTAACTAAGCTAAGCGCGCTCTGTCTGTCTGTCTGTCTGTCTCCCTCCCTGCCTGTGTGTGTGTGTGTGTGTGTGTGTGTGTGTGTCTGCGCGCGGGCGCGTGCGTTACTTTGTAACGATATTGTGTGTGACTCATCAATGCAACTTCACAATACTGATTAGTAAAGGTTAGTTCTTGCTGTAGTATCTCACAAACGCTACGTGAGACCTTCTTCCTCTAAGTCTGTCTGTTGTCTGACGCAGCTGAGGGAGGAGGCATGTAGAAATAGTGGGTGGGAAAGAAAAAGCTTAAAGGCGCGGTATGACAAAACCACCCCCTGCTGGAAATCAGTATAAAACAGCATCTTGTAAAAGGTATAATGAAAAATCTGATGGGTGTTTTGATCTGAAACTTTATATACACATTCTAGAGACGCAAAAGACTTGTATTAAATCTGAAAAAAGGCGTAACCTAGGTGCCCTTTAACAGTAAGTCCATTAAACTGAAAAATTGAAGTAATAATTACAGAGGTCTGGCTTTGGGTCCAAGTCATTTAATCAATTTTAAATCGTAAATCCGAAGTTTTAATCCTAAATAAAATACTGATCAATTCTAATTTGTGTTCTCTGCTTATAGAAGGTCAGGCGGAGAAGAGACCGGTCCTGAGCCTGACTGAGGAAGAATCCAAACCCACCGTCTCAGTGTTCGCCATCTTTAAACAGGTAAAAAAAATACAGCCAACCACACTTAAACATCTCTTATCTTCACAGATGAGAAGTGCCACATTATTAAACCTATACATTTTAAATGCTCTAATGTTATCAGACAACGATTTTTATCTGGAAAGACTTTAAAGCGAACCTGTTAAGTAGAAATCACTTTTATAAGGGGTTTAAACAAAGTCGAGTGACAGGTCTGTGAATACAAGCCGCTTCTAATGAATAACATTTATTCATTCTATTTTTTAATAATCACACTTGATGAACAGTCTACAGAAACACTTTGATTGACATTCTCCTTTTATACGTCATCAGAGATCACCATCTCATTAGCATAGAATGTTAGTCTTGTTCTTGAATCTGCCACAATGCTGACACAGGGATTTGTAGCTCCGCCCTCTTTTGAAAAAGAGCACAATCTCATTTGAATTTAAAGCGACAGTCACCAAAACAGCACAATTTGGATCAAAGCCTAAAAGGGAGACTTTCAAAGAGTTAAAAAACATCATTTGTAGGTTATAATGAGCTCAAACTTCACAAACACATTAGACTTTTTTCACATATTATAAAGAGGTCCTCAGGATTTCTCCTTCACTGGATGCTTTTGAATCTAAGTTAAAGACTTATTTTTCCCCTCTTGCCTTTGAGTGACGCATGCATGTTATTATTTTTTTAGTATTATTTTATACATATATATTTCCTTATTTTTTTAATAGCAGTTTTTATTTATTAATTTATTTTTTATTTTATTGTAAAGCACTTTGGATCAACTATGGTTGTGTAAAATTGTGCTCTTTAAATAGTGTTTGTCTTGCCTTGCCTCTTTTTTATTTTTTTAGTATTTTTTAAAAATGAAATATCTTTAAATGTGACTCATTTAAAAATGTAAATAAAAAGTAAATCTTATAAAACTGTCTAAGTAACTACATTTTAATCTTATGTATTATTTATTGCTGTTGATGCCTTTTAAAGGGCCATGAAACCCCCTTGTTTTAGCAGGGTGTTTTCACACCTCTACTTTAGAAAATGTCAGAAAAGTGGGCGTGTCCAGCTCTGTTTAGGGGGGAGTGTCAGAGGAACAAAAGAGGGAGTGTCTATTTGGGCACGCGCTGAGTTTCAGAGTCGAAACACACACACACACACAGTGGAGAAAGTGACTGTGTTTACTTGGACATCGGTAATCAAATTATTTGCCAAATTATTAAATGGTGGACTTTAACTGCAGTTTGGCTCTTTCATTCAGGAATTTCATTCATGCCCCTCGTGACAAATGAGATATTTCATTAGAAGAGCTGCTCTAAGCGTGTATTTTTCTTGCAATGTTTGTTACTGCATGGCGAATGAGCAGAGATGTATAAAGTACTAGAGACCCATACTTAAGTAAAAGTACAAGTGCTTTATCAAAAATTGACTTGAGTAGAAGTAGAAGTGCTCTTTAAGCACCATACTTAAGTGGAAGTACAAAAGTATTCAACATTTTTTGTACTTAAGTATTACAAGTAGTTTATTTCAAAATTTACTACTCAAGTACTGAAAGTAAAAGTACAAGTATTGTGTAATGTAGTTATTAAAGAAAGCAGTCAAAATACACTAATTGTTTTGTTTATTTTAAATATCTTTTTGGGGTACGTGATTAAGCAGATTGAAAAGAAACATGGCTTATCATACTGTTTTTCTCTGTAAATAGTTTCTATGGTACAAGAGCTCACATCGTCAGGCCCTTTAACCAGAAAATGCCTTCACTGATGAGATAATTCAGCATGTTCACTCACATACATTCTCTCTCTCTCACACACACACACACACTGCCCTGCACACACCTAAATGTACACTCTCTCCCCACTCTCACACATTCATACACTCTCACACACACAGTTCTCTCTCTATCTCTCTCTTTCTCTCACACACACACACATTTTTGTGAATTGTGGGGACATTATATAGGTTGCAATTGTTTTTACACTCTCTCTTACACACACACACACGCACACACACAGGTACAATCACACTGTTGTTTTTTCTTACACATTATTCACTCTCACTCACACACACACAATGACACACTCACACTTTGGGAGTTTTGAAGTTTGATTGCTTTAAAATAAAAAGCTTTAAACTAAACAAGCAAACTAAATCCTGCTTCACAAATTCACTTGATTTTGATTTTATTGTAAAAAAACAGTAAAATGTGTATATTACTGTGTTAAATGAAAATCTGAAATATTTTGTGGCTTATGGCTATAATTTAGTAATAATTTTTATTTATTTTTATTATGTTTTTAATGAAATTGGTCTTACAGTTCATATTTTCTGTAGTATATTTATTAATTCTGGTACTTTTACCATAAACCAACATCTCAACCATTTGGTAGAGGCTGATATTTTAGAAATAATGTGATGTGTTGAATAAAAATGCACGGATTGTGTTAAATAGACAATAAACATTAGGAGTTAAGAAATGCAATCAAAAAAAATTCTATTGCTTTTGTCTTGGTGTGACAGTTAAAGGGGTTTTTGTAATAAATTTTGTCCTTTAATACAGCAGTCAGATATACGAACTGTGCCCTCAATTTGACCTGCTCAAAGAAAACACTCTTCCTGGATGTATCAAACAAAACTCATGCACAGAAGACAGCATGAGCATTTACAGCTAATAAACTCATGTCAATATTATCCCGCCTGCTTTTTGAGCGATGACAGGCGGGTCTTACACGGCTATGATTGGTTATTGTCCTCAACAGAAAGGGCTTTAGAAATATAAGCGCTGTTCACCCATGGCGGGAAGAATACGCGATTATCACAGGTAATAGACACAGTGGAGAAAACTTAATTGCACATGAGACACGCTCATGTCTAGATCAACAGCTTTAACAGCTAAGAAGAGAGGAAAAGTTACCTTACAAACTGGCCAGCGGGTCAAATGTCCAAAGTGAGAGAGCGAGAGATAGTCAGAGGTGAAGTTTTACAACATTTCTCCCTAATAGTAAACTAGCGGCTGGTATGCTGTGCCGCCTCGCCCTCGCGCCTCCGTCCTCCGCCATAGTATTGCGACATCGCGCATAGGAGATAAATGACGTCATCACGTAATAACCGGGTATGACCTATTACTGAACTGATATCAATCATTTTGACACCCCTAGTAACGAGTAACGATGCAGCACATAAAAAATCTATCGGAGTAAAAGTATTAAACTCATGTAAAATATGTACTTAAGTAAAAGTGGAAGTAGGAGAAAAAAATAATACTCCAGTAAAGTACAGATTCTGCCTTTTAGTACTTAAGTACAGTAGTGAAGTAGTTCTACTTCGTTACTATACATCTCTGCGAATGAGAGAAACAAACCCTCTGCATTTCTCTGTAACTTAGATGCACTCGGCAGGTAGTGTCAGAAAGCTGCGTGTGTTATTCCGGTCACAAAATGCAGTGAAAATCCTACACGACTGTAATAGTTTGGTTGTGGTGCTAACATGTTTACACTCTGTGTAATAGTTAGTTCGATACGAACAAACTGAATAAAGAAAGAGCACTGGTCGCGCACTTACCAAATCTGTAGAGACAGGACAATCACCAGCAACTAGAGCCGCGTCTTTATTAAGAGGAGACAAGCAGCAAATCTGCATCTCACCATTTGCAGAAAAGAAAAGCTCTCAGTTAAACAATGTTCCTAGACACTTAAGTTATTATTGTCGCGCGTCACATGTACTGTAATCCACACGTGAGTCCAGCTGCACTCTCATAGAGAGAAAATGAAAACAAAACCTTCATTGCAGCAAATTAAAAAGGAACACTGCACGCTTGTTTTGCCACAGCTTGGCGTCTCTCTGCTGTCTAAACACTGTAAAATTAATGAATATTAATGAAGTTGCACAATAGAGCGCGCTGATTGGTTTGAACCAAGCCTTACTCGTGCATTAATGCAGCACACTCGGAGACGTAATACGGTACTCCCAGGTACAGACGTCCAGTCTACACGCTGGAATACACGCTAAGATCTCATGACCGTGACGCAGCTTCAAAAATTTGTTTCAAACCGGAAGTACTAATTTGCTCGAAATAACGCAAAAACAACCAATTTACACTTTTTAGTGAAATATAGGTGTCCTAATAGTGTTTTTAGCAGTGTGGGACACATATACGACTGTCAACAGCTCAAAACATGCGTTTTGGTGTTTCGTGACCCTTTAATGGTTATGAATAACTTTTTTATTACAGTAAAGTGATATTGGTCAAATGTTTGTAAATTTGATCAGTTTTTGCCATGACATTGTCAGAGAAGCTGATATGGGAGTAAACTCAACCCTCTGTCTCTCTGCCACATTATTAAACATCACTAAGCAATAATCCTCTCGAATGCAGGAAGTGTGTGTTTATAATAGTGTGCTTAGTGTGTATAATAACACTTGTGCTCTGTCTCCTGCTGTAGATCTGGGTTATGGCTCTCTCTGTTTGCTTTGTGTTCATCATCACCATCGGCATTTTCCCAGCAGTCACTGTTGAAGTCCAGTCTACCATTCCTGACAGAGGCGCATGGGGTAAGTGTGTTTACATGGCAACTTATTCAATTTAATTGTTCCTCATTTCGCATTTAAAGACATTAGAAATGCATGAGCTCATTAAGTCTGAATTTCGAGTTCGAAATTTGGAAGTGTTGTAAAAAAAAAAATAAATGAGATGAAAAGAAGAGAGAGAACCCAGTCCAGGAGACTCGGAACAAGCAGAATTCCTTTATTGAGACGTGTTGGTTAATCTGCAGTCATACAGCGTCTTTAAGATTTCCAATGTGTCTGCAAGAGCCTACTAGAGGTCCGCAGTCTGCAAGTTCTTTCACAAGTCTCTCACAAGTCTCACACAAGTCTGCAAATAGTCTGAATTGAGACAAAGATTTCATGGCTATATTGTGTTCTTAGGAGGAGGGGATATAGCTAAACAGAGCATGCAAATTAAGAGTTGGAGTCAGCATGGCATAGGTGTTAAAAAACAGCCCAGCTACTGACCACACAAGTTAATCAACATAGGGTTTCTGTAGCATAAAAGCAACACCCGAAGACAAAGACAGAGTCGTTTAAAGCATTTGCATCACTGGCTTAGCCTGTAGTCAGAGAGATAAAGGTTAAATGTCCCTCCTAGCTGGGATGTTAATGAAATTATATAATTAAAAACCAAAGAATATAACTTTTCAGTTATACGTAGATTATTGTTCATTTGGAATTAGTTGATAGAAATTTATATTTCCACAGAAGTGTGACACGGTGGCTCAGTGGTTAGCACTGTCGGCTTACAGCAAGAAGGTCACTGGTTTGAGCCCCGGCTGGGTCAATTGGCATTTCTATGTGAAGTTTGCATGTTCTCTTTTGGGTTTCCTCCGGGTGCTTCGGTTTACCCTACAAGAGGGTAAACCTTTACTATTTCATTAAGGTGCATCCATATAAATGGCCCACCCTGTAGTTTTCTGATTGCACACGAGCACAGGCGCCCAACAAATAAATAAATAAGGGAAAGAAAAGATCTAGCAATATAGGCAAGGATGTAAGGCTGTTGCATAAAATATTCATTCATTCATTTTCTTGTCGGCTTAGTCCCTTTATTAATCAGGGGTCGCCACAGTGGAATGAACCGCCAACTTATCCAGCACATTTTTACGCAGCGGATGCCCTTCCAGCCCTTCCGTTTTTTTTTTTTGGAGATGATACACAATATGAATACAACAAAGAAATAAATATTAACAAATTTTGTGTCCACTTTTGTAGACTCAAAACAATACTGTCATATCCTGATATAATAGCCTAAGCTATATTGAAATAATTTACAGAATTAAAAATATCGGATGTAAAATCACATTTAATTAATAAACCAGTATAAAACAAACAAAAGCTAGTTAGAACAATTTAGGTCACACCGTTTGAAAGCCATATATAACTTTCATTTTACAAAGGCCTATCTGAAAAAAAAAAAGATTTTATGTATTTTCTAAAAACAATAAACACCGGAGAAGGTTTAAACTATTATTTATAAAGTATTTTGATGTGATGATATTAATCAAATCGTTCAAACAGAGCATTTTGGGTGAGTGAAAGCAGAATCAACCTTTTTTTTTCTGTCATGCAGTCCTGCGCAGCGCCTCTTTACAAACGCATCGGGGAAATCTGCAAATACAAAATGTGTTCTGTGTCCTGAAATAAATGTTTATGTGTTTGTATGACGTGGTAAAATTTAAAAAATGAAATTTTAAAACACAAAAACAGCTTTATTAGTGAAAAGCTACTGAGCGCAACGAAATAAAGGCTATATTTTATTACTTGCTCGTATGTGCTGAAATACTTGACACTTTCCTTTACTTAAGATCACAGAATAATATGCTAAATATAGCCTATAGGGAAAAAATTTGATGTTTCAGGTCTCTTCGGAGCATGAGAATGTCATAAAATAAATTTTCTACCGAGTTATTACCAGAGAATTTCTGTGGTTTTATATTATGCATGGGTCACTGCGCTGGGTCCCTCCGTTAGTGGCGAGACCACTCGATGTTCGATACCAACAGTCGGTCGGCGTGTAAATGAATATAATGAATGAAAACACACAGGCCTGTGCATATAGACATATCAGGTAATGCTGTACAGTAACAAGTCATTTGTTTGTTTCGGTTGTCTTCATTTTAATGGTTTCGTGATGGTGTGCTTTATCTGCCTGATTCCTGCTGAAGTGGGCGGGTTCTGCGACGTTTGATTCGGGGGATGTTCTGTGGGCTGGGTTTGCGTGACGTGCTGCAAGCTACTAGCTTGACAGTGGAAGCGCGACATGATTTCAGCCTCACTACTCAACCTCCCAGGCGATGGCCCTGGCCCAATAAAAGCCCTGACTCGCACTGGCCCGACAGTGGAAATGTGAATGTGTCTGAATATTCTGAGTAGACTCCTCACACCAACATGATCTAATCATGAACGCACTCTTTTCAGCAATCTTCCTTCTGCGTTCACACAGAGCAGCATTCCGGCAAATTACCGGTAATGTTACAACTTCTCTTTCCGGAAAATTGCCGGAATGAATTAACTGGTATTTTCAAAAGGGCCTGTTCACACATACATACATACATACATACAGAAAGCGGCCATAGTGTCCCTAAATACATATACAAACATTATTCTAATGCTGTGTCCAAATTCACTTACTCTTACTACATCCTAAAAATATGTACTTTTTATTTATTTATTTTTTTTTGTGAAATTAAAGTACATACTTTTGGGCCTGTAACATAAGCTTTGGGGCATACTACTTTCTCATTAACAGACAGTTCTTTTTCTTAGTTAAAAGCCAATCATCTCAACAAATCATCGACATTTCATATTTATTACAAAAACTATTGAAGAATGGTTAATCTAGCATTCACGAGTCTTGATAAAAAGACGTCAAGCGCCAAACACGTCTTTATAAAAGTTCACGTTGTTGCAGATAAAATATAATGTGGAAAATTCAATTAATCTATATCCCAGTAGGTTAGATGTTACTATTTCTATTATATTTTACATATTATTTACGATCTCATTCAAACATATTTACCTAAGCCTCACTATTCAATGGTTGGTCTAACCCAGGGCTATTCAATTGGTGGCCTGCAGGCCGATACCGGCCGCCGAGGCAATTTGTTCCGGCCCTCCTAACAGTGTGACCAAGACATCAAAAATAAATTTAGTCCAGTCGAAAAACGGCCGCTATAGTTATGAAGTGACGTGCGTCTGTTAAATACAGCACAAGCTGCAGTTGAAGGCTGCACAGAGCACGAGTCACCATAAGCGACTGGTGCGTGCAACTGAAAACATAGGGATGCAATGATTAGCTGATTTCACTATTTACTGCACTTTAATTCGTCACAGTTAATTAATCGTAAAGTCTTCTCTAAGCCGCATTTCTGTTGCACGGAGCAAAACGAAACTGCTGCACTTAAACAAAGTTATGCCAAGTTGCCAACTGTGCGCTAGTTAAAGTACCAATTAAGTACACCGAGGCTGATGCACACCAGATTAACTATAGCAGCGGCCGTTCCCACATCACGTCTTTTCCGCTTGCAAGTTTGTTATTTCTAATGTAAGAATATATGACAATATGCGCGCACAAGCGGAGCAACAATGCACGCAGTAGAAAACATCTCACAGTGTGAGTGGTGTGTGCCTTTCAGTGCAATGTAAACTTCTCTGACCACATTTCTAGAACTGCTCGATCATGCAGATTCGCACTCTATAACATCAGAAAGATCCGACCCTTCTTATCTGAACATGCAGCTCAACTCCTTGTTCAAGCTCTTGTTCTCTCCAAACTGGATTACTGCAACTCTCTACTAGCTGGGCTTCCAGCTAACTCTATCAAGCCTCTTCAACTGCTCCAGAATGCAGCAGCACGAGTGGTCTTCAATGAACCTAAACGAGCACATGTCACTCCGCTGCTAGTCCGTTTGCACTGGCTGCCAGTTGCTGCTCGCATCAAATTCAAAGCTCTCATGTTTGCCTACAAAGTGACTTCTGGCCTTGCTCCTTCTTATCTGCTCTCACTTCTGCAGATCTATGTGCCCTCCAGAAACTTGCGTTCTGTGAATGAACGTCGCCTCGTGGTTCCATCCCAAAGAGGGAAGAAATCACTTTCGCTCACGCTCAATCTGCCCAGTTGGTGGAATGAACTCCCTAACTGCATCAGAACAGCAGAGTCACTCGCTACTTTCAAGAAATGACTAAAAACTCAACTATTTAGTCTCCACTTCACTTCCTAATCTGCAATTGCCTCTCTGAATATCACACTAACTGTACCCAAAAAAAAAAAAAAATAAATAAAAAATACTAATACTACTAATACTTTCCTTCTTAGACTTTACAGACCTGAAACTTGCCTACAGCACTTATTCATTGTTGCTCTTAGTTGTGTAAATTGCTTCCTTGTCCTCATTTGTAAGTCGCTTTGGATAAAAGCGTCTGCTAAATGACTAAATGTAAATGTAAATGTAAAAAGATGTGTTACATGAGTTATTATTAAAATGATATGCATGAATTCAGATGACAACAATATTTACCTAATATAAAGCTTGAATTAACATTAGACGTGATAACTGTGAAAGCATCATTATTCTTCAGACTATATAATTGTACAACCAAAATCTATAATTGTTGCATCCCTAATTGTAATGCAGTTAAAAAAATAACATATGAATGTAGAAGGAGCCTACAGAAAGAAACTGAATGTAGAAGAAGCCTACTTCAGCAATGCACTGCTTTTGTTGTGCTCTGAAATGCAACATTTGAATGTTTGTAAAGAAAAAAGAAAGCCTTTTGTACAATGCACTGATATTATGTAGTTTCAAAATACAATATATTAGCATTTTAATGTAGAAAAGCACAATGTGGTTGTCTTAAGGAAAAATACAGCATATGGGCTCTTATATGCTGTTGTGTTATCACTCGTATAGCAAGTCATATCTCTCCGGCCCTTCGTTTGGGATGTTTTTCCTGAACCGGCCCCCATGACAACCTAATTGAATAGCCCTGGTCTTGCCCATCCGCCATGTTTGTAGTTTAAAACTTGTTATCCATGTTTGTAGTTCTAATCGAATTAACGTCCAAAGCGCAATGTATTTTGGGCAATATTAGCATTTGGAGTGTGGATTCTCCTACAATTCCAGTTTCATTCATTCATTCATTTTCCTTCGGCTTAGTCTCTGATTTATCAGAGGTTGCCACAGCAGAATGAACCACTAACTACATTCACACCCACACTCATACACTTTGGCCAATTTAATTTATTCAATTCACCTATAGCGCATGTGTTTGGTCTGTGGGGTAAACCGGAGCACCAAGAGGTAAACCCACGCCAACATGGCAAGAAAAGCAAACTCCACACAGAAATGCCAAGTGGCTCAGCTGGGACTCAAAACAGTAGACTTCTTGTTATGAGGTGACAGTGCTAACCACTGAGCCACCGTGCCCCTCACAATTCAGATAAATACTCTCCGGGAACCTTTGGCATACTCTTTTCAACATACTGTGGTTTTGGACATACTAATTAAATACTTGTTTGGATGGGAAGTATCCGAATTGGGATGCAGCATTAGAAATAACATTATAAAATGTGTGTTCATGTGTAAACTGGTGTGTTTCTTTCCACAGAGAAGTACTTCATCCCGGTGTCCTGCTTCCTGCTGTTTAATGTGATGGACTGGGTGGGCAGGAGTCTGACTGCTGTCTGTATGTGGGTATGTGTGTTATTTACTGTTACTCTGCCTCATGCGCGGATCCTGCAGGGTTTTCTGCCAGTCCTAAATCACTTTTCCAGCAGCAAGTCTTAAAGGGCCATGAAACCCCCTCGTTTCAGCAGGGTGTTTTCACACCTCTACTTTCGAAAAAGTCAGAAAAGTGGGCGTGTCCAGCCCTGTTTAAGGGGGGGGTGTCGGAGGAAGAAAAGAGGCACGGTGTGGGAGTGTCTATTTGGGCGCTCTGAATTTCAGAGTCAAAACACACACCCAACAGGGGACAAAGTGACTGTGTTTACATGGACATCTGTAGTCGAATTATTTGCCAAATTATTAAATGGTGGACTTTAACTGCAGTTTGGCTCTTTCATTCTGGGAATTCATTCATGCCCCTCGCGACAAACGAGATATTTGATTCGAGAAACTGCTCTAAGCGTGTCTTTTTCATGCAATGTTTGATACCGCACAGCGAATGAGAGAAAAAAAACTCTGCATTTCCCGGAAATGCACACGGCAGGTAGCGTCAAAAAGCTGCGTGTGTTATTCCGGTCACAAAATGCGGTAAAAATCCTACACGGGGTTAAAGTTTGGTTGTGGTGCTAACATGTTTACACTCGGTGCAATAGTTTGTTGGATAGGAACAAACTGAATAAACAAAGAGCACTGGTCGCTCACTTACCAAATCTGTAGAGACAGGACAATCACCAGCAACTAGAGCCACGTCTTTATTTAGAGGAGACTACAAGCGAATCCGGATCTCAGCGTTTGCAGATGAGAACAGCTCTCAGGTAAACAATGTTCCTCCTTAGACATGAAAGTTATTGTTGTCGAGCGTCGCGTACACTTAATCCACACGTGACTCCAAATGAGTTCTCACAGAGAGAAAATGAAAACAAAACTTAACTGCAGCAAACTATAAAAGCAACACTTCACGCTTGTTTTGTCAACACAACGTGGTGTGAGTGTCGTCTAAACACTGTGACAGTAATGAATATTAATGAAGTTGCACAATAGAGCGCGCTGATTGGTTTGAGTCAAGCCTTACTCATGCATTAATGCATCACACTGTAAGACGTAATAAGACACACTCTGGCACAGACGCCCAGTCTGCACGCTGGATTACAGGCTATTATGTCATGACCGTGATGCAGCTTCAAAAATTTGTTTCAAACCGGAAGTACGAATTTGCTTGAAATAACGCAAAAACAACCAATTTACACTTTTTAGCGAAATATAGGTGTCCTAATAGTGTTTTTAGCAGTGTGGGACACATATACGACTGTCAACGGCTCAAAAAATGTGTTTTGGTGTTTCGTGACCCTTTAAATTCACATTTTCGTGAGGAGTTGTTTTCTTTTGTTTCATGTTAAAGTGAAGCGAAGGCGTCATTTCTGTGCTTCTAGTGGCAACAGCTTCAATTTACCTCTATTTTGATTAAACTCATGCTAAATTTACACAGTGTTGGTACCTGTTGCATCATGTATGTGGCTATAGCAGGATCTGCGTGTCTTTTTTTTTTTTTTTTTTTTTAGATTTTATTTAGTCTTTTTTTTTAGCTTTGGGCAAACATGCCATCAAAAAAGTCTTTAGAATACTATACGATAGGTAAGGGATAAAGTACATCCGGGAGGTTGTTATCGCAGAATAACACCCGACAGGCTTATCGGCAGCCTGATGCAAGCTGAGCACAATTATATAATATATTGTATAAGACTAAAGGCTGTATTCTGCAAGAACAACCATCCTGGAAGTCGTTTATCCCACTTATTACACAGCTAGTTGCCAATAAACACAAAAATTTAACTCAAAATACTGTTCTGAGTTGTAATAGTTTGAATTAATTCTTTAATTTAGTGCAAAGCTGAGAGAAACGAAAACAGTTGGAGTAGACCCAAACCTGCGCATTATTCAGTCACAAGATGGCAGAAAACAGTCTTGCAAAGCTGACAACTAATTCGACTGAATAAAGCATACACTAACCTACATATTACATATTACAAGAAGACGTTACAAACACTTGACAAACAAGTAGATATATATAAATATATATATAAATAAATGTGGATGTGAGTATATGGATGTGCACATATTCACTGACGGTCAAGGTGATTCAAGGTTTCTGCATGAGCCTATGTTGTTCAGTGGTTGTTATATCTGAATAACATACCTTGAAATATTGTGATTGACCATTCAGAATCGAGTATTTTATGTTATACTACACTAAAGCAAATATCTGATATAATGTAATAAAGTATGTAAATATGTATGTATGCATGCGTTTATATATGTATATGTGTAAATATGTAATTTGCCACTTGTAAAGTGCTGGAAAAGTTAAATTTGACTTAGGAAAATTTGTAAGAGCTCTGAATAATGACTAAGGAGCACATTAAGACTTGTTCTTATAGAAGCATTCAGAGTTCTCAACATATAGCTGTACTGTTTTCCTTTGATTAAAAAAAAATCACCTTAAATTTTCTTTAGCTGGTCTTAAAGTCTTGATTTTACCTTAATATAACATGCAGAAACTCTGCGCAGTGCTTAAAGCATCTGCTTTCTGTGTTTGACCGTCTCCTCTGGGGCTTTTCTTGGAGTTACTGTTACAAGATTCCTCCTGAACTATAAAGAGCAGAGCAGGGAAAACAAAGTTGAGAGGTTTCTCTGGAAAATCCTGCATCACACTGAAGAAAGTGTTCAGCCAGAAAATATAAATCTGTGTTCCTCCAAACCAAACCCTTATGACTTGCTTTTTCTGTGCAAGTAGATGTTTAGCAGATTCTTGTAAAGCGTCACCAGGGGCTGTAAACACTGAGAAAATATTCTGTCAAAGGGATAGTTCACTTAAAAAATGAGAATTGCTTCATCTCCTCTTGGATTTAGGCCTTTACGAGTTTCTTTTTTGCTGTTTAACACAAAAGAAGATATTTGAAGAATGCTTGCTCATCCATTGACTACCATAAAAATTATTACTATGGAAGTCAATGGAAGCAGCAAGCAACATTTTTCAAAATATCTTCTTTTATGTTTAACAGAAGAAAGAAACTCAGGCAGGGTTTAACACTAAGGATTTTTTCTACCGGTCCGATCGGCCCAGTGGTTCCGATTTTTACTTTGTTTCTTGATTCTAAGACAAATTAAACTTTGGCCGATCAGGCCAGTAACAATCCTGTCTACTGTCCTGAGTGTCTCTCACACTGGCCCAGGGCCATCGGGCAATCATTATTAAGCCTTATCACATTTGGTGCAAGTGAAAGTAAAGGATAGAATTTTCAATTTTGGGTGAACTATCCCTTCATATTGGTAAGTCTGATGATAGCTTTGTGTGCTGAACAGACATAAATTCATGTTGTTATTCATGCACATTTTGTCAGTTTCACTAAATGATAACTTTAAATGCATCTCACAAGTAATCCATATGACCAGAGAAACATTCACAGTATAGTCGCTTGAATAACTGTTTGAAAACAAGTTGATAATTTTTTTATTTATTTATAGATGCCAAAATAATATGCATCACAGATTTTGTCTGTGCTTTTACAAATGTAGAATATACTCTATATGAAAAATTGATTTTATCAGTTATCATAATAGAAGATCTTTATTATAGTAGTATTATTTTTGTAATACAAATGTGGAAGCCATCAGGGTTTCATATATATATATATATATATATATATATATATATATATATATATATATATGAAACCCTGATGGCTTCCACATTTGTATTACAAAAATAATACAGTAGGCTTGGGCGACGTCAAACGTCCTCCCTATTTTACCCTGGTATCCGGTGTTACCGTGCATAATAAAAAAAATATTCTTTAAATAAGGCTTTACTTTTGGCAAAACTTTTGGCTTGTGCCTAAACCATTTAAAAACTGAATACCGTATATGCGACCTTAGGCTCGCGGTCACCTGTTTGTCTAATTCGTATTAGTGATCTGTGCATCAAGTTCTCTCTCATTCACACACACAAACAGCATCACATGTGCTTGCTCGCTTGGGAGCTATATTGTTAGACCGTGCGCCTGCTCCCTTTCAAATTACACCAAGAGTTACCGACAGCTCCCGCGCTTTATACGGAAATTTATTCCCGCACCCCAAGAAATCTGGTCGGCTCCCATGGAACAGCAGTGGGAATGCAGACCTCTAGTTTGTATTTACCACGTCCTCCTTCTTGTTCAGTTGAAACCGTATGAGAAAACCAAATGAGAGGGGTCTTTAAGCTGCCATCACCAAAAAAGACTTTTACATAAAGTATTAAATACATCTCAGTAGTTTAGCACTTTCTCCTTGTGTCATTTCATTGTGATTACATGGAACTCATTTATCAGATTTGTTTTATTTTCATGTTTGTTTTGTTTGGGTTTTTACCAAAATCTGGTTTAATTTCATGTGAGCAGCTCCTTTAGAAATATTATTCCCAGGAAAAACAGGACGTGTTCAATACTTATTTACTCTGCTGTAAATGAAGTAAAAGGTATAAATTAATAAAATGTAGGATAATATCGTATATTATAGTGTAGTATAAGATACCACAACTGATATCAAGGATATTTGAGTTTATTAGTATATCAGATATTAATTTATATTAGATATATTTTGTTTTAATAATTGATTGATTAATAATTGTGGCCAACAATGACTGATTTTGTGTTGTGAAAATGCATAAAAATCTTATTAAATCTAAAAAAAAAAAAAAAAAAAATTCGACCTCAGGAACCATTGGACTTAATCTCTCATAGCACAATTATAGCATATGCCAGAAAGTTACCATAATAAAATTACGGTAGATTACAAAGTGTTTGTTTGTTTATGCATGCATGCAAATGTAGCAGCAGATATCTAGATTTTATCTCATAGTGCAAATTAAGTACTTTAACTTTTATTTGTTTATTTATGCATGCAAATATAGTAGATATAAATGATCCATCCCTTTATAATACAAATATAGTAGATATTAGGAGTTTATTTATTTACTGATTACTTGATATCTACTGTTTGTATGCATCTTTAGAGGTTATCATTATGATGTTAAGGTCATTGGTGACGCTACTAAACAAACTCTGAGAACTCAGTAAAAGTCAGGGTTTTCCATCATGAAATGTCAGTTTGATCATCTTGATAATGTTGTTTGCATGGTTCACACTAAAGCCAATTAGCATCTATAGGCAGGTGGCAGCTCATTTCCTCTCATCAAGTTCAATGTTTTGAATTCAGCCTGTTATCTGGCTTTCTGCTTAAAAATGTCAAACTCATTTACAGCTGATCAGGGAAAACTGATTAAACTATGTAGGGAAAGCTCAGAGGAAATCACTCTGGAAGATCTTTATCGGTGTTGGTGTTTTCAGTGAGCTGGCTGACGCTCGTGCTGCTTTAATTCACTTGATATATTGCACTATTGTATTTTACACTATATTGTATTATATTAAATAATTTTACATTATTTTATTATATTATTACTATTAATATTGTAGTGTTGTTACTATTGCATAATGTTGCATAATAATATATATTGCATGACAATAATATATTACACGACATTATTAAAAATGTTGTTTTTGTTATTATTATTATTACATTAAACCGTTTACATAAGAGTTTTAATTAAAAGGTGTGTAATTTAATTCACAGGGGGGCTAATCATTTTTTACTTCAACTGTGTGTAAATATGTAATTTGCCACACTTATAAAGAGGGTGGAGGGTGATTGAAAAATGCTTAAATTTGGCTCTGGAAATGGTGTAAATGCTGAATAGTGTGTTTCTGAATCAGAGTTATCTGATTGTCTATTGGTAGGATAAGAGCTGAGTATCATGGGAGAAGTGTCTGCTGCCGTAGATCAGCCTGTACTCGTATGAGACTTGTAAACAAAGTTTTATCCAGGCGATGGCTATAAATTTGCCATATTTAGAGCTGGTATTGTCATGGGTTTTCAGTATTTTAAGAGCAAATCTTTGTTCACATGGATGGTCATTTGAGGACAGAATGTGATCGAGATGCTGAAGGATGGATTTTTTTGGAGGGTTTCTCATGAACTGATCAATTTTAGTGGTGAACCAGACTAGTATGGGTTTTATAACCTTTATAGTAGGTCGCTGGTTCGAGCCTCAGCTGGGTCAGTTGGCATTTCTGTGTGAATTTGCATGTTCTCCCTGTGTTGGTTTCGTCTGGTTTCTCCCACAAGTCCAAACACATGTGCTATAGGTGAATTGAGCTAAGCTGTCTGTAGTGTATGTGTGTGAATGAGTGTGTGTATGTTTCCCGGTGATGGGTTGTGACTAGAAGGGGCATCAGCTGCGTAAAACATTTGCTGGATAAGTTGGCGGTTCATTCCGCTGTGGCGACCCCTGATTAATAAAGGGACTAAGCTGAAAGGAAAATGAATTGATGCATAATTGGGGTTTAAAGAGTGGCACGGTGGCTCTGTGGTTAGCACTGTCGCCTCACAGCAAGAAAGTTGCTGGATCGACCCCTGGCTGGGTCAGTTGGCATTTCTGTGTGGAGTTCGCATGTTCTCCCTGTGCTGGTGTGGATTTAACTTCAGGTGTTCCAGTTTCCCACACAGTCCAAATTGGAGAATTAAATAAACTAAATTGGCTGTAGTGTATGAGTGTGTGTTTGAATGTGAGAATGTATGGGTGTTAACCAGTACTGGGTTGCAGCTTGAAGGGCATTTGCTGTGGTTTTTAAAAAAATTATTTAATGTGTAATAATGATGTAATATATAATAATTTAACAATAGTAATAATAATAATAATAATAATAGTAACAGCATTATCATCGTCATGTAATACTAATAATATAATATAAAATTATTTAATGTAATGTAATATATAATAATGTAATGTAGAAGTAATAATAATAATGGTAACATTATTATCAATAATGTCATGTCATAATATTGCAATGTAATTTAATATAACCAATGATTTATTCCTATTACAGTAATGAATGGGATGCAATACATTTCCATGCATCTTATTTTTTGTATTCAGTTTAAGTCTTGCATCTCTCTCTCTCTCTTTGTTCAGCCTGGTAAAGACAGTATCTGGCTGCCCATCCTGGTGATTGCGCGTGTGGTCTTCGTTCCTCTCTTCATCCTCTGTAATGTTCAGCCCAGAAGTTTCCTGCCGGTGGTGTTTTCTCATGACGCCTGGTACATCATCTTCATGATCTTCTTCTCCTTCAGCAACGGATACCTGGCCAGTCTCTGCATGTGCTTCGGGCCAAAGTGAGTACCAAAACACATACATTCAGAGTAAAATATGTAGTCAGCATCTAGATAACACATTTTAGGTAATGCAGTCATATTCTAAAGTATTTCTTAAGGTGCTGTGGACTTAAAATTTTCCCCGGATGTTGATAACCAAATAAAAAAAAATCTATATATGCAAACAAATCTAATTAGTTTGAAATTAAATGTTTCCCAGAGATGGGTTGCAGCTGGAAGGGCATGCGCTGCGTAAAACATGCTGGATAAGTTGGTAAGTTTCAAACCCTCTGTGGCGACCCCTGATTAATAAAGGGACTAAGCCTAAAAGAACATAAATAACCCTGGGAAAAAGGTATTGAACACATGAAGAAAAGGAGGTGTAGAAAGGCAGTGAAAGCCCAGACAGCAGCTGAAATCTCTCAGTAGTTCTTCAGCAACCCTCTGCCCATCCTCAGTGTAAATGAATATCAGCTGCTTCAGTCCAACATCTACATTAGCAGGAGGATGAATCCAGAGTGGACATTTCAGCAAGACAATGATCCAAAACACAGCCAAGGAGACTCTCAAATGCTTTCAGAGAAGGAAAATCAAGCTGTAGAATGGTCCAGCCAATCACCTGATCTGAATCCAACAGAGAATACAAAATAAAGCTCAGATTTGATAGACAAGACCCACAAGAACCATCAAGGTTTTGACACTTTGTTTGTCCTCTCCGAGCAATGCATGCGACTTTGTTCTCCAAATGAGAGGCGTCTTTAAGCTGCCATCACCTAGGACTGGAATTGGAAACCACTGTATTAGATCAGTGGTTCTCAAACTGTTACGTGGACCACTAGTGGTACGCAGGCTTCCTTCTAGTGGTACGTGGAGGAATAAAATGTCATGTACAAGCTATACACATTTCAAAATTTATAAAAAATAATGTATATAATATGCCATATATGCCATATAGCTTATATTTCTGAGGTGATCTGCCATGTTTTTAACTTGGCAGAGTTGTAGCTGCTTTACTGGGCCTACAACACTACTGTATTTCAATACTGCTCATTTTGGTGGTACTTGGAGAGACATTTTTTTTCTGAGGTGGTACTTGATGAAAAAAAGTTTGAGACCCACTGTATTAGATGATGAGCTAAGTGCATTTATAGGTGATAGCTTCAACTTAAAGTTTGGAAAAGTCAGTTCTAACGCCTATTCACATGGGGCATCTGTGTAAACAATTTCCATTGACTTTAAATCGAGTGCCTTCAAGCATTGCCAAACTCAAATGTGGATCCATCAAGACATGCTAGATCCATTATTTACTTTTCAAGCACCAACGCAGGCGTCAGCCAATCAGATCGCTTTAAGCAAACATTAGTGCAGTAGTTTCTCCCATCACTACTTCAAGACGTCTCCTAATGTTTTATGTCTGTCCCACAGGAAAGTGTCCCAGCATGAAGCCGAAACCGCAGGAGCCATCATGGCCTTTTTCCTCTCTCTGGGCTTGGCTGTGGGAGCCGCGTTATCCTTCGGTTTCCGGAACATGATCTAGAACCGTGGCCTAGTTCTCAGTGTGACGATGAAGAGGAGGAACTTTGAATCCCAGTGCACACTAAGCCAGAGAGAGTGTTCATACTGCACATTTATGCATAACATCATTCACATGTTTGTCCCTCTTGAGGCAGACAAGAGAGACTCCAGAATAACAATCATCATCTGCTAAAAACAAGCCAAAATTTATCTCCATTTCTTTTTTTTATGTCCTTTTTTTGTATATGGTTCCAAATTGCCAATTCAGTATTTAGCAATAATGTATAGCTTAGGTTAACCCCTTTGAGTTTTAGTTCTTTTTTAAATGTTTGTATAGGTATTAACGGTTTTATTTGTTTCATTTTAGACATGCAGCTATTAGGGCAGCAGTAGGTCACTGCGAAAATTAGTTCAGGAGTATTTACAGTACTTTCAGTTATGAATATAAAACAGTTCTTAAATTAAGATGCATTTACTTGTTTTCTGAAAATATTAGTGTTTGCGCTAACAGTTTACTTGAAGGGGTGTTTGCAAGACTGTTATTAATGGTCCTATGAAAGTATTTTAGATGTTAAGATTTCTATAAGATAGTGTTGCTCCAAAACAGTCACATAATTTGCGTTTAGGAGATATAAAACTGATATAAACATGTACAGCTTGTAGTTTGTCACTTCCACATATATGGAGCAACGATTTTTTTTTTCATGTCACCTCATGCTTAAGTTTCTCATCAAATCTTGACCAATGAAAAAACTCCCTAGTTTCTGACAAGCCCCGCCCCCTTCATGGCGCTTTTCATTTGATGCACTTGAGCTCAGTCTCTCTCATTGGCAGAGCAGTGATGAAACGAAACACTATTGGCTGCTTTTATCTAAAGGGGAGGAGCTACCCTCTCCGTGTTTTTGTTGAGATTACATCAAATGAAACACTTCACGGGACCTTTAAACATTTATAATCATGATATGACGCGTCAAGAATGTGAATGAGAATGCTTATGACAAGTATTAAGTGTCCTTTGCTCAATTGTCATTTTTTTATGACAACTTGACATAAATACAGCACAGCCAGCCTTCATTTTTGTCTTGACAACTTGACGTGACCTAGACATAATAACTTGTCATAAATCTGTCATTAACATGATTGTCCTGAAGCTATTATAGATGCATTTTGAATATTTTTCTATATATTTCATGTTTTCTATGTCACTGTATTGTTTTCATTAAAAGCGTCATTAATATTAGTTTCATTAAAAGCGTCTGTTATATTTTTTAACAGCATCATTAATATTTAAGGACATTTTAATGACATTTAGCTTGTACCACTATAGTTGAGGTCAAAATAAATATTCATGACACATTATGGATTCAAGACAATCATGTTTATGACAGATTTATGACATGTAATGTTTTCTTGGTAATGTCAAGTTGTCATGACAGGCAAAAACAGGTTGTGAAGTATTCATGTCAAGCGATGTTATCTTTGCATTTAAAATGTCATAAGCTAATGACACTTAATACCAATTATAAACGTGCACATTCAGATTCTTGACACGTGTCATGTCATGATTATAAAGGTTAAATGACTCTCTTATGAACACCCTTTTAAGTAAAATGTTAGCATTTATGTCAACTTGGTCAGAAATAGTCTGACTAGACCCAGAGCCTGTTGACATATCTTTTGATTTCTGTCATGACAGCGCTGGGAGAGATTGAGTATGGTATATAAATATGTACATGGCATTGTTAATATGTTTGGTCTTGGGAGAATAGTTCTGCTTTAAACATAAACAATTCATTTTGAAAGTTTTTTTCAGAAACATATTCAGAAAATGTGTTTTGATTTGAAAATGTTTGGATATTTGGGTTACACTTTACATAGAGCTAGTATTAGTTAAAGCATAGGTGTCAAAGTCAATTCCTGGAGGGCCGCGGCTCTGCACAGTTTTGCTCCAAACGAGTCATAAACACCTTCATTAGTTTGATCAGCTGTGTTTGATTAGGGTTTGAGCAAAACTGCAGAGCTGCGGCCCTCCAGCAGTTGACTGACGCTTATGAGTAAATGTATTTATTAACATGAACTAAATTCATTACAGTATTTGTTAATGATGCACTGATACCAGTATCGGGTTGAAACTTGGTTTTAATACTCGTATCGTACATGAAATGCCAAAAACACGCACCGATACCACTCAACTACGTGGAACTACCTGACTTCAATGTATTAATGAATCTATTATATATTAATAGCTTAGTCATTATAAACAATCCGTTAATAAAATACATTATTAACAAATAATCTGTCAAAAAGATCTGTCCATGCTTAATGATAATAAGCTTAATAAGGTCTATTGATTTACAGGGTTATCAACAATGCGTGTATATATTTGACTTGGAATAGCCCTCTGTTAAAGATTTTGTTCATCCTTGCTACAGGCAAAAAATAAAACCTCCTTTCAAATTAATTGCACTTTCATTAATACCAAGTAAGAAGTATCGGAATCATTTCTCGATTTCAGCGATTACACCAATTAAAATACTCCTACTGGTATCGGTTCATCCCTTGTATTTATTCATCTTTGTTAACATTAATTAATGAGGGGGAAAAAAATCTATATTAGTTCTTGTTAACTCAGTGCATTAACTAATGTTAACTAGCATGAATTTGAATGTTAATAATGCATTGATAAATGTTCAACTCGGATTATTAAATGCTATATAAGTAGTGTTTATTATTTGTTCATTTTAGTAAGTACAGGGTGGGCCATTTATATAGATACACCTTCATAAAATGGGAATGGTTGGGGAAATTAACGTCTTGTTTCTGGTACATTAGTATATGTGAGGGGGCAAACTTTCAAGATGTGTGGTGACCATTGTGGCCATTTTCAGGTTGGCCATCTTGGATGGTGTGAAGATAGAAGATGTGCAGCACCTGAAACTAGGGATTCTGGTAGCCTGTGCTGGCATTTCTCCTGCGGTGTTGCTATCAGTGGGAGAAGAGGCTTTGACAATCCAACACAATGGGCAGCACATTGAACACATTTTATAAGTTGTCAGAAACTTGTAAATAACTCATGAAAGAATACAGTTACATTAAAACCAAGCACACCATTGTTTTTCTTGTGAAATTCCCAATAAGTTTTATGCGTCACATGACCCTCTTCCTATTGAAAAAACAAAAGTTGAATCCAAGATGGCCGACTTCAAAATGGCCACCATGATCATCACCCATGTTGAAAAGTTTTTCCCCTCACATATACTAATGTGCCACAAACAAGACGTTAATATCTCCAACCATTCCCATTTTATTAAGGTGTATATAAATGGCCCACCCTGTATATTAACCAACATTAATGGAATCTTAGAGTAAAGTGTGACTTATATTTGTACTGAAAAACAAGACATTAGTTTGCAGTGGCTCTAGAGAAATTGTACTGTATAACATCATTAAAGGGCCCCAATTACTAATGGCATTTTGAATGTTAAAATCAGTTCAGATGTCTGCTGTTCATGTTGTTCGCTGCATGTGTTGGATTTAATCATGTTTTAAGTAGTATCTGGCCTGAGTGCACTGAATGAAGGTTTATCATTTTAAATGAAATCAAACGTGAAGGCCTAAAAATGTTACATTGACATTATTATTATTATTTATACAATTGTTTTATATCAGCTTTTTGTATGACATGTATTTTAATGCAGCCTGTATGATTCTAACACCATGTACGTGCACAACTTGCTTTGGTGCCTTTTGAATGAATTTTCTTTTTCAAAAAACTGACAGAACTGAAATGTGTGGAGTTGAAGGGCTGGAAATAAACATGTTTCTGTTTGTACATGGATGCTGTTGTCTATCCTGCACTAAAAACACTCCTCTGTATCTCAGCAGACTCGTAATAGAGAGTTGGTACAAAAAGGTAATCACACATGAAAAATACAATAGTAATTTATAATACATACTTCAGTGTTTTTTTAACCAATAAGGAGTAGTATTTGTAGTATTCACTTCAAAATGGCTGAATCCGGGTCTGTTGCTCTTGGTCATTCTAAGCTCTTTGCATAAAGTTAAATCATAACAGTTACTATGGTTTCTATTTCAAACTATAGTAAACTAAAGTTTGAAACTATAGTTTAAAATAGAAGATGAGTGGGCCTCGCTACTCCCACCCACCATAACCCTCGCAGCGAGGTCCCACTACTGGCCCCCGTGTTTCCCTGAGGGTCCTCGGGGGTTGTTTGCTCCCTGCCTAGGGCTCAAAGGCTGCCTCGCCCCAGGAAGTGCACGAGAAGACCGGGCGCCAGGCCGTGCCAGTATTCACTGGATGTTGCTCAGCGGCACATTTCAAGCAACAAACACGTAATGTTCTTCGCGATATTGCGTTTATGTACGCAAACCGCAAGGAACTACAGCACAGACGGGCCCGGGTGAAGCTTCACGAAGCGGACTTCGTGAGATTGGCGTGGCTCCACTCGTACCGTCGGTATTGAACTCACCCTGGTCAAGTTCAAACAGCAACACCGAGCAAACTGACAACGCTGACAGAGAGCACACGAGCTTTATAGGAATGCATATGCAAATTTTTACAAGGCACGTCACTGTTGTCTCGTTGTCATAGCGAGCGCTGAAGAGGGCTCACCTGATTGGAGGATACAGACTCGGGAATCTGCGTCACGGCGAGTTGCCGTCTGCTGTGGACAAAAATATATTAAATATATATTTTTACATTTTTGGTGCTGTGTAATATTCGGAGATGCAGTAGAATATGGAGACAGATGACAGATGTCCATCACCCTTTTTTTGATCACAGATGCATCTCTATAACTATTCCTTTTTCAGATACTGCTAACTTATGTAGATTCAATTCTTACTGAAAATTGAACTGTTCATTGCTTAACTATAAAGAAGTAAATGAAAAAATCGAATTTATAATTTGCAAGTACTGTAAAAAAGCAAACGAGGAAAATGTTTTTGGAAAGAATTGGGAGTTAGCAAAATATGAAATTGGAACGTTTTTAAGAACATTTAGCAGTAAATTAGCGAAAGAGAGAAAAGAAAATGAAAATATTATAATATGCAAAATTTCCGATTTTTTATCTAAAACTGTTTTATCTGATAGTGAAAAGGTTGAATTTGCCCATTATCAAAATAAATTAGATGAAATCTATCAGAAAAAAGCAGAGGGAGCATTTATTAGATCACGGAAAAGATGGTTGGATGAAGGTGAGCTAAATTCTTCTTATTTTTTTATATTGAAAAAGTAACAACAGCAAAAAAAATCTAATTGAAAAACTTATAATTAATCAATCATTATGTGAAGACCAGAAGACTATTGCTAATTTTTGTGCCGAGTTTTATAGTGATTTGTACACGTCTAAATTTAATAAACAAAATGCTTTACATTTTTTCGAAACATTATCTTGTATAAAAAAATTGTAGAGTGCTGATCAGGCTTTTTGTGAGGCTCCAATCACATTAACAGAAGTCGAAGAAGCAATTAAATCATAAAAACTGAATAATCTCCTGGCACTGATGGCTTTATTTCAGAATTTTACCATATGTTTAGTAAAAATATTGCTCCCTTCTTGTTAAGCGTTTATAAGGAAAGTACAGATAACTCTTTTCTCCCACCTACTTTATGCCAAGGTGTGATTACGCTAATCCCCAAACCAAATAAAGATCGAAATTTAGTAGATAATTGGCGTCCAATAACTTTGTTGAACAACGACTACAAAATAATTGCTATAGTTTTAGCTAAAAGATTAAATGTCCTTTTACCTTTTATTATCGATGAAACTCAGACAAATAGACATATATCTAATAACATAAGATTGATTTTAGATATCCTAGACTATTCTGATATGATTGATGGAGACAGTTTCATATTTTTTTTGGATTATTATAAAGCCTTTGACACTTTAGAACATGTTTTTTTTATTTCAAGCGCTTAAAGAAATTTGGTTTGGTGCTACTTTTTGTAAAATAATTTAAATGTTATATAAAAATGTAAATAGCTCTATTAAGTTAAGCAGTAGTACTTCCCCAAGATTTTTTTTTACATCGTGGAGTAAAGGCAGGGATGCCCAGTATCACCTTATTTGTTTTTAATTGCAGTGCAGTTTCTTAATTTACATATTAAAAGAAGTAATTTAAAAGGATTTACTATTGGAAGTACAGATCTGATTATAAGTCAACTAGCACATGACACAACATTTATTATTTTTTTATTGTCATGGAATTTTTATTCTTGCAAATAGCATTTTACATTTTAATAACGATCCACAAAACAATCCCCAAATAAAACAATCAACAACTACAAATGAATGAATAAATAAAATGAACAAAATAATAAAAATTAAATAAAATACAAATATAGAAGAAAAAAAAAATTACAATTACAAGCCATATATATACATACATACACATGTACCTTCACTCAATCCACATCTAAGGTTTTTAAGTGATTAAAGAATGCAATAAATTGTTGCCATTTTTCAAAAAAATGTTCTCCCCTACCTCTGATATTGTATTTAATTTTCTCAAGTTTTAAAACGAAGACCAAATCTTTGAGCCATAATGAAATAGAGGGGGGTTGTGGGGAGGTCCAAGACAAAAGTATTCTGCACCTAGCGAGAAGAGATGCAAAAGCCACAATGTCAGCGTGTCTCCGGTTTAAAGGTTGACACTGAGAGGGAACACCAAAGATTGCGATTAAAGGGCAAACAGCTAACTTGACCCCCAGGATATCTAAAACAATTTTAAAGAAAGTAACCCAGTAATTTTGCAACTTGGGACAAAATACAAGCATATGACCAAGGTTACAAGGTGATAGTTTACACTTATCACACATATCAGAAACATTAGGATACATTTTAGAAAGTTTGGCCTTTGAGAGATGAGCTCTGTGTATTGTTTTAAATTGTATAAAACTAAGTCTAGCGCATGAAGTGGAGGTGTGCACATCGTCCAATACTGCACTCCAGTAGTCAACTTCAAACTCTAAGTCAAGTTCCTCTTCCCAGGCCCTGATAGCTTTAATGTTATGAGAATTATCCTTTGGCAAAGCAACATTGTTTTTAAAAGATTAATCTCAAGTGGCGGCTGCATTAAATACTCTACAAACATTTTCCAGTGCATCTGGTTTAAATCTTAATTTAAATAAATGTGAATTACTTCCCATTAAAAATTGTGGTGTTTCCTCAATTTGTGGAGTAGCTGTTAAAAACTCAGTATCTTACCTTAGCTTAAGTATAACTAACGGTAAAAATAGATGTGATGATAACTTTAATCCAATCGTTGCAAAAACTAAAAGATAATTGAATAGTTGGCTTCAAAGAGGTCTGTCTATTAAAGCAAGAATTTTGCTCACCAAAGCAGAGGACCTGTCTCGTCTCTCCTATGCAGCTCAATCTCTGTACGTAGATGAGCCTACATGTAAACTTATAGGTAAAACTTCAACAGACTTTGTCTGGAAAAATAAATGCCACTATATGAAAAAGACTGTTATAATAAATTTGTATAATAAAGGAGGTCTTAACTGTATTGATTTCTGCTCTTCAAATTATACTTTCAAAATTAATTGGCTTAACCAGTATCTACATAAAGAAGACTCAATTTGGAATATTTTCCCAAAACGGGTATTTTCTTTTGTTGGAGGCATTAAATTTTTATTGATGTGTAATTATAATATAACCAAAATTCCTGTTAAACTTTCAAATTTCCATCAACAAGTACTTCTGGCCTGGACTATAATTTATAAACATCATTTTACTCCTCACACGTTTTCTATTTGGAATAAACAAAATTTTTAAATAAAAATAAATCTTTGTTTTTCAGTGATTGGTTTAACAAAGGTTTGCTTTTAGTTAGTCAGTTATTTAACAACAGAGGTTTTTTAAATGAATTACTTTGAATTTATTTCTGCGTATAACATACCAGTAAGTCCCAAAAATTTCGAGCTATAACATCAGGAATTACTATGCTCTCTAAAAGTAGCATTCCTCTCCCTCCTAAAAAAGTGTACCTTTCTGATCCGACAGAAACGTTTATAGGTAAAATTTGTTTTTTAAACAAAAAAGAAATGACAAAATTAGATCTCTTTTTTTATTGAAAAAGTTGCTACATTGTCCCCTGTAATCTCTTATTGGAATAATATCTATAGAGATTTGATATGGGGAAAAATATGGTCTTTGCAACATAAATATTTTCTCACCAACAAGGTCAAAGAAGTGTTTTTTAAATTGATCAACAAATTTGATCCTATAAAACTATTTTTGAAAAAGTTTAATTCTAATATTGATGTAAAATGTTCATTTTGTCAATTTCATACTGGAACTGTTTTTCATTTATTTTGGGAGTGTAATTATGCTGTACAATTTTGGAAACATATTGGATTATTTATTAATATAAATATACAACAAGATAATATACAACAAGATGTTTCTGATACTTTTAAAGAAATTGTTTTTGGTTATTATGAATCTGCCCCTACTGAGAGAAATGCTTGTTTTGTTATAAATTTAATTTAATTTCTTTGTAAATTCCATATCCACAAATGCAAATTTACTAATACTAAACCATATTTTCCTGTTTTTTTGCAAGAATTTAGTCATTATATACAATTAATTTCATTATCTAAAAATAAGAAAGCAAACAGAACTATTTCATTCTGTAATGACTTTAATTTATGTACTGTTCTAGATTCTTAAATGTCTTACCCTCAAGTTTATATCATGTTCTTTATTCTTTTTTTCTGTCTTTCTCTCTCGTATCTCTTTTTCATTGACAATGTAATTCATATTCTGTATTGTAAACAAATATTGCTACAAACTTGTCAACTGTTTTTTTTTGTTGCAAAAAATCAAAATAAAAAGTTTTCATTACCTGACTTATTTGGAGGAATACTTTGGTTTGAACTAGGTTTGGACACCACATTTGTCTTCTGATTCACAGTAAAACAGCAGGTCTGAGATCAGCTGAATGTCGTACCTCGGGTCTGAGAGAAAAAAAAGCAATCTCAGTCCACTTATTTGGTCCACATGAATGCGTGGGGTTCACACAACAACTCGAGTTTATTAAAATATTCCGCACAATTAGACAAACTGACCTAGTTTTATTTTAATTTAATAAATCCTGGCACGTGTGAACACATCAGATACTTTACAAGATGGTATAGCGAAATGTTTGTTGCAAAATAGGGAACTTTGGTCGTTGGTGCATTCTGTTTTATTTACTCCCACAAACAAACAATACTATCATTACGACAGTGTTTCTGAACTACATAGTATTTACAACACTTTTAAAATGAATGCTACATAATATAGAATGGATATACGTTGGTTTTTACTAAACTGTGTAGTGTATCCTGTATTAAATTACAATATCGATGAATGTGTTTATAGTTGTTAGGCTATGACGTTAGTAGTTATAGTTGAATATTACCACAAAATATAATCAAAGACGATTCAAAAACAGTTCTATGACGTGGTATACGTGTATGCAGACACTTAAGCAAAATTTTTACCAAATTAGAATTTTTATAACTCCCACAAACAGTAACGACAGTGTTTCTGAACTATATAATGTGTAGTAACGTTACACAAAAAACGAATGCTATATTATAGTGAACAGATAGCTATACATTAGTTTTTACTGCAGTAAACTGTGGCGTATAATGTATTTCCTACAGTATCGATGAATGTTTATAGTTGTTATAGCTAACGTTATTTAGTTATAGTTGTATCATAGAATATTACCACAACATATTAATTCAAAGACTTCACTATATGGTTCAAAAACCCTATATTTGCTATGAAGTGGGTGTATTTACTGTAGATGTGAAGGGTGATTTAGAACTTCTGCTCGATGATTCGTCGATGCTTTTAGGTGAAATGTACTTTCGTTTCTCTTTATTTTCAAATAAGTATATTTCGCACGGGTTGTGATTTATTTTCTGTAAATGTGTCAAGCATTTTGGAAAAGTGGGGACGGGTGTCATCGTCGCCTGGTCTCTGAATGGCGCTGTTTTGAACTCGAATCTCCACAAGCTTAGCTTTTAAATCCCCTGTTGTTCCTGTGACGTTCTGCGCTGCTATGGTGACCAGAGAAGCTAGTTTTGAAGAGCAGATTCACGCGCGAATAAGTATTACATCACATTTCTACAACTACAGATTAAAATGTAGAATTAAACCCACGTTTTGTGTAGTATGCGCACACTGCTTTAGCAGCTCCATCCTCGATAAGACGGATTAGTAAACAAGCTGTACTCACAGTCGCTCAAACGCACGCACCCAGCAGGTATTAATGGAGCGTATAAAGTCAACATCCCCCCTCCTGCATTTAAATTTAGATAATTTTAACTCCCCAGAAGCTGAAGACAGCAGATATGTTCTGACAAGTCCGCGTTCGCTCGAATCCTGTGCAAAACTGGGAGTGAAACCTGTTGATCTGCTGTTCAGATCCTTCACAGAGTTCATCAATGAGAATCAAGGATCTCCTCTGGAGGAGGTGAGCGGATTATTTGAGGAACATGAGAAACAACGAAGAGAGCGACTGAGAATGTGTCGAGAGGAGAGAGAGCGGATCATACAAGAAGACTTGAGCAGAAAATCATCCCTAAAACCATTTACGGCATTGGGAACCATTCAGAATCAATGCGCAGAGTCAAAAACAAAACCTATCGCTGAAATTGATGATAATAATTCAAAACCAGAGACACGTGGCCATAAGTTCCCACACACTTTCAGTCTGGCCGACCTCAGACGATCTCCCGCAACAGAGCGACGCCTGAAGATCCTCACTGAGGAGATCAGCCGCAAACTAAACATCGCACTCCCTGAAAAAGACCACAAAATCGCTTCGCTGATGCTAGCCAAACATGAAGAACAGGAGATTCGCTTGCGTCAAAGCCAATCTGAGAAGGAGCACCGCGAGGAGGAGCAGAGGAATGAGGAGCTCCGAAGAGCTCACTTAGAGAAAAAGCGTCCGAAACAACTTTTGGAGCACATCCGACAATGGCAGGAGGATTTAGAGGAGCGGAGGAGGCGCAAGCAGCAGGAGGAGGCCATGATTGTGGAGCGGCAAAAACAGGAGGTGCTCCATCACGAGGAGCGCTGGAGGAGATCAGCAAAGGAGCAAGAAGCAAGTCGTAGATTCAAGCACGATTCAGCGAGTAAAGATGCGAGAGAGCGCAAATGTTACCAGGAGAGACTCCTGCGGGAGAAGGAGCGCAGTGAGGAGGCGCAGCGAGAAAAGGAGATTCATGCGGCGGCTGAAAAAGCAGAGCAAGCATTGAGAAGCAAACAAATCCAGGAGACGAGAGCAAAAAGGAGACTGCAGCAGGAGAATCGAAGACAGCTACTTAAACACCTCCTGCTGAAAAAAGAAGCGGAGGAAAAGGAGCGCGCGGAGAAGGAGATGCAGCTAAAACACTTACAAGACAAGCTGAAACGCTCTGAGATGAACCATGCGCTGGTTTTAGAGGAGAGGGTGGAGAAAATGCGGCAGCATGCGGTGAAGGAGGAGCAGCAGATGCGGATGGCGCTGCAGCGGGCGGGAAGGGAGGACAGGGAGCGGCTGGAGATTAGGCGAACGCTAGTGCAGCGCTGCAAACTGCGGACTGAGCATGCTGTGCTGCACGCGCAGGAGAAGCTGCGAAGCCGAGCTCAAAACATCAAGACGGAGAACCATGAGAAGGAGAAACACCATCGCAGACTGCAGGAGCGAGTGCTGGAGGAGGAGAAAGCGCAGTGGGAGGAGAAATGCACAGCAGTGATGATGAAGGAGGAGCGCAGGGAGAAGCTGCAGAGGGATAGAGCTGAGGCTCTGGAGCGGAGCCGGAAGGTGGCCCGCGCCTCCTGCTATATGCGGGACAGAGTGAAGGAGCACACCGCACCACGCACCTTTGACCAGATGGCAAGAGAAGCCGAGCTGACTGCGCAACTGAGCCAGCTGAACTTATGATTAGTGATGATATAAATTAAGCTCGTTTGAATGGGACATTATTTTCCAGCAGTGTTAGACAGCAAAGAACCAGCTCTTTTAAAGTATTAATGTTTTTCTTAAAGAGACAGTACACCTAAATTAAAAAGGACTCGCCATTTACTCAGGTGGTTCTAACCCTCTGTGAATTTCTTTCTTCTGTTGAACACCAAACAAGATATTCTTCAGCTGGACTTATGAAGAGTGGGGAATCTTATTTAAAAACTATAATTAACATTACTAATCAATTAATCAATCGCAATCAATTAGCAATTAATCAAAACACAAGTGTATAGGCACATTTGTATGTGTGTGAATGAGGGTGTATGGGTGTTTCCCAGTGATGGGTTGCTGGAAGGGCATCAAACTGCCAACTATTACAGTATATGTTTTTACACACCGCATGCCCTTCCAGCTGCAACACAGTAATGGGAAACACCCATACACTCTCTCATCCACACACTCATACACTACAGCCACTTTAGTTTATTCAATTCACCTATAGCGCATGTGTTTGGACTGAAGGGGAAACCCACGCCAACATGGGGAGAACATGCCAACTCCACACAGAAATGCCAACTGGCCCGACCAAAACTCGAAACAGCGACCTTCTTGCTGTGACGCGACAATGCTAACCACTGAGCCACCGGTCATACTTAGTTCATAATAGTAAATGTATTACAACCAATTAAAAGACAGAGGTGTAACTGCACGTTGCCACCAGAAGTAATTCATTCATTCATTCATTTTCTTGTCGGCTTAGTCCCTTTATTAATCCAGGGTCACCACAGCGGATTGAACCGCCGCCACCAGAAGTATTAAACGACATATACTGTTTTTGTTAAATGGGTAGCACAATCGCCTCACAGCAAGAAGGTCGCTGGTTCGAGCCCTGGCCTAATCAGTTGGGATTTCTCTGTGGAGTTTGCATGTTCTCCCCGTGTTGGCCTGGGTTTCCTCTGTGTGCTCCGGTTTCCACCACAGTCCAAACACATGTGGTACAGGTGAATTGGATAGGCTAAATTTTCCGTAGTGTACGTGTGTGAATGAGTGTTTGTGGATGTTTCCCAGTGATAGATTGCAGCTGGAAGGCATCCATTGAGTAAAAATATATGCTGGATAAGTTGGCGGTTCATTCCGCTGTGGCGACCCCTGATTAATAAAGGGACTAAGCGGTAAAGAAAACGAATGAATGTTTTTATTAAAGGGATCGTTCACCCAAAAACCTTTTTCACTATTTACTCACACTCAAGTGGGTCTATGTTGTGAAATGTTGTGCTGCCAACAGAGGAACGAAACCTAAACACGTTTGAAACATGGAAGATGAGTAAATAATGGGTAAACTGTCCCTTTAAGAAAGAGATGTTTGTAATACTAAGAGATTTATCAAGCCACACACAGTTAATAAGCCTTTTAGACTGTACTAAAGACAGGCAAAGCACTTATTTAATTTGAATTAGTTTATTTATTGACTTTTATTTTATATAATGATGATTTTATATGATTAATATTAATATTTCTTTCTGTAATATCATGTCTGATATGGACTTGGATTTGGACAGAAGCTGACATTGTGCACATTTACCTGGCCCACCTTAAAGTATTTATGCAGATTAATTAAATTAGCTGTACAGTGGAATATTGAATTAATAATCATATTAGTGTTAATGCCATCAAACATAATTAGCATATTTTGAAATGTAAAATTTAGCTTCAGAAGTATTACGACAGTGTTGAAATGTTGATTATTTCATGTTTTTACATATGAAGTGAACATTACAAATGTGTTTATGAAGCCAAAACTATTGAAGAATATCTAAAGACAGGCTGTTTGTTCATATGAAAGATTTTGTTAATGTATTGTCTTTTATTTGACTCTCAATTAATTTAATAAACACTTCAGTAGCCAATAAAGCTTAAGTATAATGCACAATATTTTAATAATGACTTGTGTTGGAAACGTTGAAATCGGGAATTCTTCAAGAGTTCACACTTAGCTGATGATTCATTAAAGCTTGTTTGGCATGCTGTCCTGGGAGAGAGCCCCGAGCTCAAGGGATCCTCGAGCCCGGGGCTTCCCCCCGTTTGCACAGCGAGAGGGGAGCCTGAGCTCAGTAGATGTCAGAACTCCCCGGCTGCGGTAGCTAAGGGAACACGTGAGAAGGGGGCTAAACAAGTGCTTGATTGTTATGCATGATGTATATCTTTAGACGGTGAGAGGAAACCGGAGGACCCGGGGAAAACCCTCGCGGAAACGGGGAGAATATACAAACTCCTCACAGAAACGCCTACCAGCTAGGCAGAACCAGGGCCGGTAGTGTTCTTGCTGTCGGGCTCACAGTGCTAACCACTGGGCCGCCGTGCCGCTCGATCAATGGTAAAGGAGGAGAACTGGGGAGGAAGGGGGGTTTCTTCCAAACAAAGATAAAGTGGACTAAAACTGTGGTTCTTTATAGTAGATTAGGGCTCATATGATTGGAAGATAGCGATTAGCTAATACAAGACCGGCCGTGATAAATCATAAGCACGTGATCCTCTCGAAATTAGTTTATAAACAATGTTCACTTATGTAGAGTTATTGCATGCATAAATGAAAATATGACTCTATAAACAAAAACTGCATGTAATATGGGCGGCTCAGTGGTTAGCACTATCACAGCAAGAAGGTCGCTGGTTCAGTTAGCATTTCTGTGTGGAGTTTGCATGTTCTCCCCGTGTTGGAGTGGGTTTCCCCCACAGTCCAAAGACATGCGCTGTAGGTGAATTGGATTAACTTAATTGGCCGTAGTGTGTGAGTGTGTTTCCCTGTACTGGGTTGCGGCTGGAAGGACATCCGCTGTGTAAAACATCCGCTGGAATAGTTGGAGGTTCATTCCGCTGTGGCGACCCCTGATAAATCAGAGCATGAGGGCACACTCACATGCTATCCGAACCGTGCCCAGGCACGTTTCCCGGTTCGTTTGAGAAGTGTGAGTGGTCTGAATCAGGCTGACTGAAGATAAGACATCACTTTTAAGGGGCTGTTTGATATGGATTTATTAAGAAACTGTCATAGTTTATTAAAGATGCAAAGCCCTCACTGCAGGACAGTTGCACCTTCAGCAAACCTCCTAAGCTGAAGAAAAACGAATGAATGAATGATTGAAATCCTGACAGCGTCTCTCAGGTGAATCAAAACCGATTTTACAGTATCTAACACATCATGTCAAGTGAACTGCAAAGACCAAACGAACAAAGCAAACAGTATATGTTGAGGCTTTTAATAGATTGTCATGTACCAGAAAGATTGTTGTGCCATCTCAATCTGGACTGCATTGGAAATCTCAAACGTACTAATACAAGACATTCTTGCTCGGTTTTATATAAAACTTCAACAAATAAACTATTTAATACTCTTTGGGAAAAGAGCATCGTATTGCACATTGAACTCCTTCAGTTGTGGAAGAAATAAAACTGATTTGAGATAATCGCAACAAAAAATAAATAATCTCTTTTGGCTTTGATTTAAAGCATGTCCAAGTTCCTGGAGGGCCGCAGCTCTGCAGAGTTTAGTTCCAGGCTTGCTTCAACATACCTATCTGTAGTAACCAAAACAAGCCTAGAGCACTCAATTAGTTTGATCAGGTGTGTTTAATTAGGGTTGGAACTAAACCAGGGCTGTCCAAACTAGACCCCGGAGGGCTGGTGCACTGGAGAGTTTAGTTCCATCCCTAATCAAACACACCTGAATTAGCTAAGCTCTTCAAGCTCTTACTAGATATTCTAGGAACTTCCTGGCAGGTGGTGTGAAAGCAAGTTGGAGCTAAACTCAGCAGGACACCAGCCCTCCAGGACACCCCTGAACTAAACTGCGCAGAACAGGGGCCATCTAGGAACTGGCTTTGACACCTGTGACTTTTCACCCAAAAAAAAAAATCCAAATTTGTTCATCATTTACTCACTTTTTATATGTTTAAAACCTTCACAAGTTTCTTTATTCTGTCGAACACAAAAGAAGATATTTTGAAGAATGATAGAAACCTGTAACCATTGACTTTAAATAGAAAAAACAAATACTATGAAAGTCAATGGTTACAGGTTTTCATCATTGATCAAAATATCTTCTTCTGTGTTCGACAGGAATAAGGAGTCTTTTTACGCTTGTGGGTGAGTCAATATTAATAAAGTAATTTTTGGGTGAACTACCCCTTTAATAGGACACTGTGGTAGAAGCTGACTGCACATAAAACAGCAAAGGCTAGCATTTTGTTTCTCAGCAAATAATAAAAATAGTAATGCCGGGCAAACAAAGGAATCGCATTCATCAAATTAGTGTTTGTTTTGACAGTTTAAGTGTGTGTACTGTGTATATTTATGTGTATGTAATACACACATGCATGCACATATTTGAGAAAATGCTTATTTATATTGAAATAGAAAATGTATATGGTACAAATTATATTAAAAATTTTAATATCTATGTAACAAAATTGTATTTTTATATATTGTTATAGTATAGTATAATTGTATTGTTTTACTTATACATATGTGTGTCTATCACAAGAATATATATATATGTAAATATATACACACACACACACACATATATATACATATATATATATACACATATATACACACACACACACATATATATATATATATATATAATATGTCAAAACAAACTTGTATTTTTGGATGTGATTAAACACGATTAATCTTTGCCCAGCAATAAAAAATGCTTACATAATACTAACAAAACTTAAAACTGCATTCTCAAGTCTTCATAAAAATATGAACAAAAATGTAAAACTGATGTTTGGCTGTTTTTGTATGAAGAGATCAGTCATCGGGCAGTTTGAGGGCGAGCAGCACTGGAAGTCCAGCACCCAGGACGAGCGTGAGGCTCTCTGTGATGCCCAGTCCGGCCTGCTGCGGGTTGCCAGATCCAATGACAGCGTGATGGTGGAGGTGAGTGGAGTGCTGGTGCCCTCTGCTGTTGA